TCTGAATGCCTGAGACTATATGAATTAACATCTCATTCTTTGTATATGTTTTAAGGTATACCATTTCTGTTGTGTCACTCATACTTTTCACCACTATATATAGCTGTACAGATGAGCAGTCAGGCATTCACAAGCTAATAATACATTAATTTCCACCATTCAAGAGATATTATTTTCTGTTTTGCGGTATGAGATGGCACAAATCCAAGTCAGAATGATGCCCTGGAATAAATACAGGAGAAGATGATGGCAGTGCCAATGACCAAAGATGATCTCATAAGAACTGGGTGGTAACTCAAGAGTAGGTGATTGCTGGAGTGGATGACTTGTGTTTAAGTGGAGAGTCATAGAGCAAGTTGATGTCAGGAGAAAGCACAAGCCATTATCAGCTAGCATTGAAGCTGGACAGAGATAGCATGTTAGAGAATTTGGAGATGTGCCAATCACAAGTGAGATCATCAGTGGCTCAAAGTTGAGTTGGAGTAGCATTGAATCTGCTGATTGCTGGCAGACTCTAAGTGTGTCACTGGCAGATGCTTGGTGTCTCACTAGTGAGTGCCTGGCATCTCACTTGGGGTGCCTGGTGCATTGCTAGTGGGTCATGCAGGATTTGAGTCTCAAATTCTGAAATAAATCCCCTTTGTATTTGTCCTCATTTTTAGTTTGGTATTTACATCTGGATTTGTTCTAAAAATACCATTTCAAATACACTCATTTTTGGTAGCAGATTTTTTTTTGTGGTGTTACAACAAGAGCCTATTAACAAGGTTAAATTGCCCTTGATGATTTTCAGAGGAGAGCAGGAAGTTGCACTCCATATTATGAGAAAAGGACTACCCAGGGAAATATTCAGAAAACATGATCTTGTAAGGACAGTGTGGAGTTCAGTCTCATTTGTCTATTCCAATCATGGCAAGAGCTAGTACCCACTAAACCCCAGCTGTCCAGATTCAGTCATCCAGCAATTTCTCTCTATCTTGTTGAAAGATTAACTCATTTTATGTATCAAGGATAACTTGTTTTTTCATTGCTTTTAGGCTAAATCTGACTTTATCTGTTGATAGTCAGTCATGTTGAAAGTGCTTATTCATCATATTGTACTATCTATCTGCAACTTCATCTTTGTTGAAACACAGTTCAGGGTTATCTCCTCTTACAATCTGTTATTCACATTGTAGTTTTCATATAAGAAAGGCTGCTTCTGGAACAAGAATGTTGTTAGACTCAAGCCACACATGATTAGAAACATGTGATAAACTAGTGTGGTTTCATGCTTGAACCTTTGTGCTAGAGTTCACTTGTTGTGTTCTGTTGGTCAAATGCTTCAAGGCCTTTAGAGATAGCTTGAGAGTAGAATGAGGTGGAATAAACTTTAGCTCAAAGCTGAGGATTACCAGCAAGAGCAAGCTGGCTTATATACTGTATATTGTAGATCTAAATATATGACTGCCTATTGTATATTTCCAAGTCTTTGTGCCCATTGTCCTTGGACATCACTACTATACACAAAAGGTTGATTGTGTGTCATCAAGAGTTGGTTGCTGCATCAGAGAACAATGATAGATTGGCTTGTTGTGATGACTAAGCCTCTCTCATAGTTCTAAGCACTCATTCTAGATGCTCTGACTAAGCATAAATAGGGGTTAATTCATAGAAGAAAGAGGAAAGGTGAAAAAATCATAACAGATGTGAAAAGCTCATTCTGTTCCTTTAGTCTTTGGTCTCACATTTTTAAAGGTTCTGCAACCACTACTTAGAACCATGCCCAGTGAGAGTGTAGGCCAGTGGTCATGTTTTTGTAGCCATAGTTTTTCTGTCATATTCCAAATTTGCTGTCATTCAGATGTTGAGCAGTCTATCAGTATATGTTCAATTGTTTCTGAGACTCTGCAGATTGGGCATATTCCTCTATGTTTATAGTTCAAAATACTATCCCAGTACTGCCTAACTTTGTATGCTCTGAGTGGTTCTCCATAGGAATATTTGGACTGCTTTTCTTATGTCTTTAAAGGTAAAAGATGACCAGATCACAGATTCCATTCAGAAGATACCTGTATCACTGGCAATGTTCCATCTGGCTATTGAAAGGTTTTGGTGTGTTGCTTGATGGTATTTGAGCTTGTACCTGTCTTTGATCATTCTATATAGTATAGCTTGGTCCCAGTGAGCTGGTCAACTATTCCATTGTTGATAGTTTTATCAATGATTATTGGGTTAATCCATTGCTGCTAATTTCAGCAGCATGGTGACTATCATGTTTTTTCTATGATTTAGTTGTTGATAGAGAGAAGGATGTTTTTTCTTTTCTCATTCTGAGCTGTGCTATGACAGCTATTGCTAAATCTTTGTCTGGATAGTTGCTTCAAGCATTGTCCTCTCTGCTTTCAAGGTTATTGGTTAGTGTTTTGTTTTGGTAGTGGATTTGGCCTTGTGGATTTTGGTCCCAAATCTCTGACTGAAATCCATGTGTTTTTGCAATACAAATCCACATAACCAAATCTATGTCAAACACTGCATGTATTTGTATTCCTATTTAAGAGCCAAATACTGTACTAAAATCTGCATCAAACCTCCTGGTTTTTGGTGCTGACTTTGTTGCTGCAGATTTACCCAATAAATCCAGCATTAAATCCTTCAAATTATTTGACCCCCCATGAAATACTGATGGACTGCAGCAGTGAACAAGACTAGCCCTTTGTATTCCAGTACATTAATGTTCTCTTTCATTTGGTTGTATACCATGTTTATAATGAATCCCATTTGTTTCACAGTTCCAAGAACAGTTGCACAGTAAATCAGTATTTGTTAATAGGCTGAACAATATCCAATTGCAGGATCACTTAGTATATATTGATCTGCATCAGCATTGTCTTCTCAGTGTGTTGCAGAACTCCTCTATCCTTAAAAATCTGATTGGACTTTGAAGGAGAACCCTTCAGACTTTAATTGTATTTATTGCCTCTGTGATCATCCTCACTCTTTCCCTCCATGACCACTGTACATCATAGTGTCACCATGGTCTGAACTGATCCCATCAGACCAATGCCTATGATTTAGCACCCATCAATACTCTGCTCAGCTAATAGGATTCATGTGTCTTCTACTTATCATCAGGATTCCTGCATTGGCCAGGTCCATGAAGACTGGCATCTGGCCTCCAACTCTCAGACAGTTTTGGCAATGTTGAACTCCTCTTCTTCTATGATTATCATATTCTCCATGCTACAACCTGTTACCACTTTCATACACTGAACTGTTCACAATGACTTGAATATTTCTTCCAGCATTGGAGCTTCCCTATAGCATCCTGGCTGTCATGGCATCATAGAGAACATTTTAGGTTTTTTTTTCTTTGCTGCAGCTTGTGGTTTATACTGATGACTGTTAGGCTAGTTATATTACTGGGAAGTCCTTGAATTACCCAGAAGGACACAACCAAAAAAATGTGGAAAACAGATGTTCTTCATTATACCTTCAAGCTTCAACAATGGTCTTATGTATGTTGTTTGTGGGGTACACTCAAAGGGCTTTGAAATGCTGCATAAACAATGATTTCACTGATTACACACTCAGCATATGGTGGAGATCTTGATGTCCAATCTGGATTTCAAGAGCAGAGTGACATCAGAGATGAAGAGTGCCCTTTCCATTCAAGTTCAAGTGCAGTTGCAAGATGTGAATCATTTTCACAGCAAAAGGTTAGTGGAGCTCTTCCCATTCATTTCTTTCTTCTCTCTGACATCATATCTTTCAGAATCCTTCACTAATACCACCTACTCGAACCTTTCCTTTGTATTTGATAACTACACCTGGTTACCATGGTTACTTTCATCTCTTCCTTTTACCATTGGCAACCATACCTTCCACCCATTACATAGGTTCCTCTAGGCATGCATTCATTGTAGCCAGACCATGATTGCAACATACCTCACTAATGCTAGCTTTGGTTGACACACAGATTGATCCCCCCAATATTTGGCATCCTTCCTGACCAAGCAATTACTTTCAGTACAAGGACCTCTCTGACAACAGCACAACTTTACAAAGGATGAACATTGGCCCTGGATCTGGGTGCTTCAATCCTGAGGATGATGACTGTGACAAGCATCTGCATTATCTTTCACAGCTCCTTAGAGGAGACCTCTGACCCTAGTGAGATTAAACAGCAGGGGGTATTTGGTTCTCACTATGCAGTCCTATGGTTATCACGGAGCATGTCAAGGATGTCATCAAGTGAAGGGTGTAGCATATGTCACCACAATTTGTCAATGACAATGTTGTTGCTTTCAAATGTCTTCACAGACTCAGGGACACAGCAATATTCCAAGATTCAGCAAGACCATTGCCCAGATTAAGCTCTGCATGGTGCATTACAAGTTGACAATGGATGACTTCCTGCAGCATTTAGAAACACAGATTATTTTCTAAATCCATCAAAGTCCCAATTTGAAATCATTTAGAATTTATATTTCCAAACTGTAAACCAATTTAGGTCTAGAAACACAAACAGCAATCAGATCTATCTGTTACCATATCTGTTCATCACTCTGATTGCCATGAACAATGATGATGAGCAGCTTCTACATCAACTTATCACTCTTGAGGAAGAGGCTGCAATACAGGAAGAGCAAGAATATATACTTGCTGCTGCTTCTGGTGCCTTTTTGGCATATGGTGCAGAACAATCACAGAGGATGAGAGCAGAATGACATCAGGAGACATGTCAATATCTCACATGATCGGAATTGCTCTCTAATCCATGTCAAGATACTCCATAGCAGGCCCTTTTTGCCACCAAATCAGACAGAGCATTTATCACCACAATGGGATTTGATGTCAATACCTTCAATGGCATATTACAAAGTGGTTTTGCTGACTGATGGAACAACAATCCTATTCCACATGATGATGTTCCAACTACCTCTATTCCCCATGTACACTGCCACTCCCTTGATGCCCCTGATGCTCTGGGCCTGATTCTTCATTATCTAAGTTCCACTATGCATGATATCAGCCTTACTCAGATATTTGTGATAATTCCAACCACTGTCTCTTGCTATTTAACTTGGGCTATGACCATCCTATGTGATTCATTGAGGCAGATGCAGGATGCAAGAGTCAAATGGCCACAAGGAGAGGAATTTGAAGAGAACAATGCACTGGTTGTTGTGCAACATCCTTTACTTGATGGTGCATTTGGATCTCTTGATGGACTGAACCTGATGGTTCAGACTTCAACAGACCAAGAACTCAAGAATGCAACATTCAATGGGTGGCTCCATGAGCATTTTGTTAGCTCTGTATTTGCTTTCAATGCCAAGGGTAAGCAGACTTCTGACCCATAAAGTTACATTGCTTCTGGGCTTACCAAAATATCCATAGGTGAAATTATAGCATGCAAACTCAATGCTCCAGGAAGCTGGCATGATTCTTGTGTTGCAAAGCCTATCTATGAGAAGCTACGCACACAGACTCCAGAAGGATTCTATCTTGTTGCAGACACAATATTTCTCTGAGGAACAGATCAAATAGCTGGCAGAATTCGCTCTCCCCTCAAAGATGGTGCTCGACTTCCAGCTGATCCTCAAGAACAACAACATATCATGGACTATGACTGACAACTGCTGTCCTACCGACAAACTGCAGAGTGGGGAAATCGAGGGATACAAGGCTCTTTTGGTTGTCTCCATGTTCCATTACCTATCCGCTACCATGAAACCCGAGGAGACTTGTTGGAAGTCTGTGTGCACCTTTTCAATTATCACACCAGGACTATTGGTTACAACCAGATTCGAAGTGTTTATATGCCAATATGGCAGGAGGGTGGACAGGAAGAAATCTGGCAGAGCTTCGAAAACATCCTCTTCTCTGATCAGCGAAACAATGACCGAGTTGCTAGGTTTTATAATATAGTTTCACATGAGTAAGTGTCAAACTGAATAGAACTAGTATAATTTATAGTGATTGTGGAGGTGCTTCATTGCTGGATCGAGACGACTCTGGCAAGAGCAACATCATATCGAGACCTGATTCTGCTGACTGGTATACAGGACTGAGAGGGTGAACAGCAATATCATCATCATCATCTGTGGTGGGAATTGTGTAGCGCCGTGTTCCAGGGCTATCAAAGGAACCACTGAGTTGGTTGTATCCTGATGGAGAGTCAGGATCAACACACTGTCGAGAACCTCCCCCATCTCTGTAATGAACTTCCTGATAAATGCGCTTTCCATAACCTGATCGAGATCTGCAACGACCCCGAGATGTTCCATGAGATGATGTACTGAACATGTTCATCATCTCTGCTCTGTCTGCTCAGCGTTCTGCATCGTGGCGAGCTCTTTCAGATGTGGTAAGCTCTGACTGCAACCTATCAACACGACTTTGTAGGTCGCATATCTTAAAACACCACTATCAGCTCATCTATACTATTACAAGAAAACAGACCTTCATACCTGTGCTGTCAAAGTAAAGATTTGTGTTGTTTGCACAGAGCGTGCTGAGAGTGCCTCACTACGAGCGATCTGAGCCTCAGGAGAAAGAATGCTACTGAACAATGAGCAGTGCGGCAGTGGATACTTGGCTCTGAAAGCATACCTTGAGATGCTTTGGAGAATATCTTGAGGATTACTACGGTGCTGGCGTGGGATATTAGTTGACAGACGGTCAGAAGGTGGACGGCGAGTGACAGGTCCTTGAGCTGGATGAGATTGTGTAGTAGCTGGGAGCTTTGTCGGTGGAGGGAGATTTTCAACCTCACTGTCATCACCTTGAGAAGAGTCATCGGTGGCAGCATCATCAATAATATCCTCATCTTCAAGTTCTCGTGATCCAGTTTTTCCATTTATGAGATATTCAATCTCATGAGCCCTCTCAACATGAGGAGGGCATTCAGCATCGCCTGTAGGCTTGCTAGTTTTTAGGAGCTAAAAAAACAAGCTATGTCAGCATCATAAAATAAATAAGGTAAATCATACCTGTTTGTACTTCGCTTCGAGGGATTTTGAAGTGCGTGATGGTCAGCCATTCTCTCGGGCCCATTCATTGAAGTCATCTGTGGATGTGTTCCATCCCTTGCCCCCAATAGGAAGTCGTTCTTCTAAGATGTCCATAAGGGCATCAAGATCATCTGTCGTATAGTTACCAGAGCCTTCCTTTCGCCCTCTCTTCTTTTGTAGAGTAGAGGCTGACGACTCCACGGCACTAACTTTATGCCTTTTTGGGGGTAGCTTCAAGGAAGACGGTATGGGAGATGATGCAGAACGTCGCTTTCCCTTTCCTTTAGAATCGGAATGGCGGCATCCTGCAACTCGTGAGGCAGGCTCAGCCATGTTTTTCAATAACACATGTGCAGGGGGAAAGTCATTCTCATTGTCATCAGGAAGACGAACTTGAGAGGGATCCATGTTTCCATGAGAACGCATTGCAAGGGGAGTAGGAACTTGTGTCAACTATGGCATTGCTTCAATTGATGAAATGCAATAAGCAAACTAATACCCACTTTATCAGATACATGTCCTTGAAGTCCGCTAGGATTACGAAGATCATGTGGATCTCTGACCTGTTAAAACTTAGTCAAATTGAATTGTCGTTGTGTATGAGTCGAACACCGACCTGTCCATTTGCACCAGGGAAAGAAAGATCCACAGTGGAGAACATGTCCCGAAAACTTGGAAGCCGTGAATCTGGAGGCAATGAAGCCCCATAGGCACTGGGTAGCTGATAGAAGTTAAGATAGTGCAGGTCTTGAATGATTATGTCAGACTCACCTGGACACTTGAGGTGTTTGGCGGCCCAAGCATAATCCAAGGACCATCAGGTGTATATCTAACGAAATCAGTTCCAAATTTGTCTCGGTGATGCTCAGTGCGAGAAAGAGAACGGCTTCCATTGGGACCTGACATGGGTTTTAAGTGTGTATTGGAGAAATCTAAAGACGGTGAGGGTTAACTACTGAGGTAGAAATGAGAGACAAAGGTGAGATAGGTATTACTTTCCTTCAATCCTGGACTTTATAGGCCTCAATAGGTGTCCGAAGCGGACTGCCATACAAGTTTGTTACTACCATGAATATCAGAAAGTTATCCGAGTCGGACATGAAAAAGATGGCAGTTGGGATGGAAAAATGGCCGGTTCTCAAGGAAACAGCTGAGAAGTAGCTGTATAGACACTTTGCAGTATTTTTTTTAGGTCCACCGAAGATTCAATACAAGGATACAGGACTAGCAGAGCAAAAATGAGCTTTGGACTGAAATTGCGGCACTTCATTGAGAAAAAAGAGGTAAACATAAGTTCTACGGACCAACAAGACAAGTATTTGTCTAGTCCTTCGCATCAAAAATGAAGACGGGCGCGGCAGGACAGTGGTCGGTATATGAGAGGCGACGTGAGTGAAAGAAGACGCCTCGGAAACTAACAGGTCCAAATAGAGATCGAGATTGATGGCATTTCCAAATGCGTTTATTAAAGTTTAGAAATATGATTTAGATTTAGAAGGGGGGGTCGGAGGGGTCGTCTAGACTAAAATCTAGACGAGGGTGTGTCCCATCAAATTGTGGCGCTCATCCAGTTTGTTATACCGGCATCGCTCGGCATCTCTGATCTAGAAAATAATCTGTGTTTCTAAATGCTGCGGGAAGTCACCCAATAACGGCATCGAGTATATTACAAACCTGTAATACACCTACGCGCTCCGACGTGACGAAGGAAGCCTGATTTCATGTCCGGAGACCAAAGCTATTCGGAGACGCCATTCATTAGCCGTGATATCAATGTTGCATATTCAGTGCAGGGCCAGCTCGCAGGCCTAATCCGGACATCACTAATATTATTCAAGTCAGATGACCTCTGCAGTCTAATGAGCGATAATGAGCTAGATACGCGTTGAACGGCCAATGCCTGCATAGCTGTCACCAGGTAAAATTTCTGGACTTCATGAACAGAGAGGCAACGACGACTAACGATGCGATACAGGCAACCGTCAAAATTCTCTAAACGGTACGAAATGGCCGTCACTCCTAGTGCCTATGGGAGCCAAGGCCTGCTAATGTCAGCTACAGAAGCCCCGAAGAAAGAGCGGTTGTTAGGGATATGGGTACCCGGTTACAGCCGACTCGAGGATGAGTCCCCATTTGCCGTGTCTATACCTATCTTCTTCTCTCTCTTTCTCCACATTTCTACATATTTCTCTCAGTATCAACTATTTGGTAGAACATTCTCTCGGAGGACTTAGCTAGTTTAAGAAAGCTTGTAAATGTAGAAATAACGGTGTACAAATGATGAATAATACCATCTTCTGTCTTTTACCTACTATCACTTGTGTGAACTTCAAGTCTCGTTGAACGGATACGCTTAGCGCTTGCTTATTTGCCTTAGATATGTATGATAGTCTTCAACAGTAAATTTGAACTCTTATAATCTACGATCAACTAGTACATTCATCCCGTCCTATAGCCCAACCTTCAGTAATCGTAACAGCGGTTGCTGAAAAGGCGATGGTCAGTGTCTTCTGTATGGTGTCTTCATAGAATCTGACAATGCAGCACACAAATGTCGCACATGTTCTTGAGGATAATGCTAGTTTTTGTGGAAGACAATATGAGGTTAGTCGAGCAGATTACAGTCCGGTGTCGTTGTCGTCTTCATAAAAGATAACGTATTCTAAATCCAGTCCACCAAGTTGACTTCTTCGAATGTTCGGTTAGGCTAGCTATATCACCGGGATGTCTTTGAATGATCTAGAAGGACGGGACCAAGAAATGTGGAAAACATACATCCTCGATTTTGCCTTCAACAACCGTCTTATGTAGGTTGTATGTGGGGCCTACACAAAGTGTTATTTCTCTGGTCACAGGCTCAGTGTATGGTAGAGACCTTAATGTCCAACCCGGATTTGAATGGTAAAGTGACACTCGAGCTGAAGAGGGCCCTTTCGATTTGACTTTGGAGTTCAGATAGATTTGCGAGCTGGAAACCTTTATCACAGCGAGAACGGAGATAGCGACTTACCCAGTTATTTGGTATGTATGTCTCGCATGAGTTAATGTGACTCGACTCGCCTAACGAAGTACATATTTTCTGGTTTTACCCGACCTGTATCGCAGATATACTCGCCGACCGCCATTTATCTACAGCAATGAAGATCCAGAAGATTGAAAAACTGGCAATGCACTCATGGTAACCTGGTGCGTCTCATTTTTGTCATCCCGACTTGCCTAAGGAGCCTCATATCGCGAATCATCAGAATGCAAAACCTGAAGCAAAGCGAACTGGAGCTACAACGCCGAGAAGATTTCTATTCATTTCTTTCAGTACATGTATGGCCCCTTCTCGTACACTTTTTCATTTGTCTAACATTTCCTGATTTTGTCGTAGAGAGCGAGCCATAGGGAAACGTCTCTGACATTAACCAGTTTCCTAAGATTTGAAGCACGCATCAGAAAAGATAACACATCTAGCTTCCTGAATATCAGCGAAATCAGAGCCGTCGTATGGCATAGAACAGCTTAAACACAAACGTAATGATATTTATACCTTTCTGGCGCTTATCCACTCAATTCAGCACCGGAGACCATAAATGGTATCTTGAATCGTGCCTCAACTGCCGCACCAAGTTCGTTTACACGCGCTGTGTCACCCTGGCCTGATATACAGACCGAGTCATGGAAATAAATTTATTGCCATTCAAATTAACACCATACGACTCATTTTCCATTCAGGATGAACATGATATGGAAGCAAAGAGACGCCGGTCAATTCCGGGGTCTAACTGGCGTCGCAATGACTATGTGAACCGAAGTGTACGTACTCAGTGGTTAATGGCGGCAATGAATCATGGTTAACTTTGCTATCCTTCTTCCTACCAAAATCATGCTTGTCTGATGACTGCATGTTAGTACAAGCCGCATTTCATTGGACAAGGTGTCGGTGCTTTGCATGAGATGTCACAATGTGGTCCTATTTACTTCTTTATTCGATTCTCTGGGTGTTACACAAAATCACCTCCCTTAGTCGTCCTTGGTTATTCAATTTTGTATCCTGTCAGAACCTGTAGAAAGTGAAAAAAAAGTACGAACGCCACGAAAGCTGCATGGAAATAAATTTTCAGAGGCCAACTAGTGATTCACTTGACCTATTCTTCCGTATCCGATCGGGAGCCCTGTCGTGTCAATATCTGCAAGGATTCGCTGTTCTTGGCTGTAAAAATAATGTATTTTGCAACGGATAGGAAATGTACATTGGATGCGATAGTATAAAGGAGGGCGATATACAATCTTCCTTTCGGTATCACCATGAAGAAAATGGGGAGAAAAGAGAAAAATACACCAGGATCTTGGGGAAAATGAGGCCTATTCTTGGCTTCTCATCCCATTACAAATTCTGAATATGAGTGGTTAGCTTAAAAACATGGAAAAGAGCTATGTCCATACCTGAAACCAACTTGGCATCCAGGGAGTCCTTTAATTCGGAGCAGAATTCCTCTTCTGTTAAATATATATCCTTTTCATAGTTTTCCAGCACTTCCATCCACTCTTCATCATGTGTAATTGCAATCTTGAGGGAAGAGTCCTGCGAAGGATGCCTCAATGTGGATTGTTGTTTATCAAAAAACTTACCTGGCTTAACAAATATTCATTCATTGCTGCTGAAGGATGAAAAAGCTGAAAGGAGGAATGATTTCAGTGTGCCAAAAATGACTGACATCAATCTCACCTCATTTCCTCTGGGTGGAAATTCAGATGCTTCTGCGACCAAAGACGTATTGTCAGTGCTCTCTACCAAAATATTTCTCTGATCGGAGTCCTGGTCCTTCAGTGATGTATTGAATGGGAGAAAATGAGTCGAAGTCCTGCTGTTTCCATCGCTAAGCAGGAGCGGCACCTCGTTACTATCCAAAAAGTGAACGGGATCTTTGGAAAGGCTACGGGGGGGATCGGCAGTTGCCTCCCAGTGTGATTTGAGCAGGACTTCGGAAACTGATATGGTGTAACCACGGGCGAAGATACACTGGTTCTCGAGATGTTCGGGGTAAGGATAAGCGACGCCAGGAAACGGATACAGGCGTGTATCGAATCCAGAACTAGTGGTCCATGCATGTGGATCTGTACCATTTACTCCACCAATGCGTGCTGTAGCACATGTAAGAGAACCGTTTAAACTGCTGGCTGCCATTCCGATGACTGCAGCTCCCCAGGTAGTCGTTTTGTCACACCCGGTGATGACATACAAAGTGCCCTGCAGAGCTTCTCGACCCAACGAATCCGGATCATTGATGTAATTGTACCAAGATAGCGCATATTTTTCAGCGTATACCTTGATTGCACCTTTGTTGAGAATATCATAGCTTGTTGCTGAATTAGGAAGACACAGGACTGCCGCGGATGCCCCTGAGATGGTGAAGTCAAAGGATGTGGTAGGTGTGGTGCCTGTAGTACTGTAAAGTAAATGTAGACAATGACATTCAAGGATACAGTCATCCACAGACCTTGACAAAGCATTAGCAGAAATGCCTGCAGAAATCTCTGAGTAGGATGCATGTTCACTCGCAATAACAGTTGTGTAGGACCCTGTGCGACGTTGTATAGATGATGGATTGAGAGGTACAAAGTCAGGAGGCACACGACCATGATTGATTGGATGTTCAGCATTTTTGAAGATGTTGAAGAGAAAGTCGAAGCCCCCTGAATCATTGCGAATCCCTACATCCCCAGGTTGTATGCCTGTTCTTATGAACTCATCAGGTGCACTACAGTCTGGCTCTGGATACCAAAATGGATAACCATGGCCTTTGTGGATGAGTGCCTTTGTGTAGAGGATGTGGGGGGCCTGTTCAGCCATCAGTGTGTGGTCCAAGTTTGATTCAACTGTGGGTATTTATAAGCTGCTAGTGCCATCTTTGTCTCAGTGATGACTCTCGGCTGATGCTGATTCATGAGAGACATTGGCTCTGGTGTCTCATCTTCATCTGAAACTTCATCCTGCATCCCTAGTGAGATGAGCTGTGTCCTCTCATTGTCATCCAATTCTGACTGCCAATCCTGGGCATCAAGGCTCCACCCCTTCCCTCTGGTGTCAGTAATCCCAATTGCCTGTCTGGCATTTCCAAATCTAACCAATTCTCATCTAGTATTACTGCACCTTTTATTCTACAAGTTGCTAGCAATTTTTTCTGTCCATGCTTTCGTCCCTCAAACCTATTATCTCATTCATGACCTCTAACCCCTCATTTGATGTTGAAAATGTCACAGCATTGGTGAAACATTGTGAAGATCTCATTGAAGACCGCGTTAGAGGTTCTGTCAATGTCTTAGACTTTGCTGATAAACTTTGACAGCTTGGCCTTTTGTCTGAGGCTGCTGGAGACTATGTCAAACTTCTCCAGGAACAGACTAATCAAGCCGGCCTGCAGAGTTCAACAATTGCTCCCTCTAGTATGTGATCCTCTGCCTTCTCCATTGTCACACCCACACAATGATCCATCTATACAGGCCACACTTCATGCACTAAAAGACTACATAGTAGTCAATACACCTTTCAACATTGATTGCCTGGAGAATATTCTTCAGTTTCACCTGAATGAACCTTTTGTCCCTTCAGTCACTCGCAGTCTTCACAATGGATTCTGGCCTCTTGATCTCTGTGAATGGGAGGATTCTCTCCATGATGAGACCAAAAATTATGCCATGGATCCCAAAGACATTGACAAAATACATGCATTTCATGATCACAAAGTTGCAGTTGGTCATTGATCACCACCTCTGCCAAAAGGGTTTATGCTTTTACCAGTATCACCTAGGTTCGTTGTTTCGCCGGACGGAAAACCTGGAGTTGTGACAGGTCATACTTCTTCTGGTCTAAATGTGGGAATCCCAGTTGGTGAGGCAATGGTGAAATACAATGACATGTACCCTTTTAGAGAAGCTCTGCAGAGTGCCAGAAAATGACATCTAAATGCTGATTTCATTCTCTACAAAAGCAACATTGCCACTTATGAAATCATACCTGGGGAAGATACTTTGCTTTTTCAGCCCACCAAGTGAGAGTTTCGAGCACTGAGTTCTGTGCCCCATATAACACACCATGATTGCTCTCTATTCTTCGCTCACTGACTATGTCTACCTAGTAAAACCCTATCTGCTCTGAAAAACTCAAACACTCGGCTACATAACTCTTATTCGCTAACAACCCGCGCCAACCAGTCTACATTGAGTCTAATGTATGCTACCACACCAGAGATTCCGCAGGGTCCAGTGTAGGGTAGTCAGACTCATATTAGTGATGACATCTCTTAATGCCACAGCTACAAGATGCTTCATGTTAGCGGAATAAGTATGCCCTGCAATCGGGCTTGTATATACCCATGGACCACATAGTATTTATGCCATTTACTTTTCTGTTTTTAACTTACTTACATTCAGACTGTCAAGCTTAACACATATATATCATGTAGCTTGTATTTCATACCTAAGACATGTTCTCTTACCGTCGAGCGCACTCTGAGTTGTCATATCTTACACCTTGCGCCCTATCGCTATCACTTCAGTACTGTATATTACATTCTACCAGAGTGTGGTGCATAAACGAATGATAAAATGGCAAATAGGTACAGCTTGGAAGACTTTGATATTCATAAAGTTGACTGACGATACCTATACAGGTGGCAACATATTATCCTCAAGACTGGAATCGTTCGAGCCCTCGGTGTCGTCATGGCCTCTTTGCGTGAAGAATCGTGCAAGGTCGATGTTTTCTCGTTGGCTTGATCTCAAAAGATCCGCCAGTCCATCGAAGGAATCGATTACTCGAGGTCTTGAATGTAATGTCAGAATATCATGCATGCAGTTCAAGGGCGACAACAGAATATCCGTCCCTTATACCTAAGGGAAGTCGTTTCTAGCTCATTATAAAACATTCAGAGGAGTGAGCCAAGGACTCATCCCGTTGTCAGAAACAAGCCCGAAGAACAGACAGGAATATCTCAGTCGTCCAAGACATAAGTAGACTGCTTGGAAAATATTTGATCAAAGCCATAGTCCATGATACAATTCGTTGGAGCCAAATCCTCATTCTCAGAGAGGAAGAGAATCCTTCCTGTAACGGCTGATTTGAATGAATAAGCAAGGTGCGCACACGAAGGCAGAAACGGCTTACCATATGTTTCGGATGATTGGAGAATGAAAAGTGCGGCACAGATATGCCAAGGATCACATGAGTAATAGCGGTGCTTCCCGACTAGCGCTCGAATTCCCGCTTTTGGCCTCGTCGACGTTCAAAATCACGGGAACAAGGCAGTTCTAAGAAGAAGGGAATGATAAGTATGGGCCCAGATCGTAGGAGGGCCATCATCTTACCAACCTGTTGTATCCAGGAGTCGCATTCATTAGGTACCAAGGGTCTCGGAGACAGAGCTGAATTGTAGAGAAGCGAAAAAACCAAGCGAGGTTTGATCGCGGTAAAAGAAAGACCGGTGTTCGAATGTGTCAATCTCACGACTGTTACACCTCCATATGTTCAGCATTCACAACATCCCTTGCAAGTACTTCGTGTTTCAAAGCAAGAACGAGATTTGATTGCGGTGGTCAGTTTGATCTACCACCGATGTCATCACGAAAGATAGCCGGAATTCGCGAATTTCCTTGAAGAGACTGTACCGTAAGGTATACAAAGAGAGATGGTAGGTGATCTAAAAATACGAAATTGACAATGTAGTTCAGATCAGCAGCTCTCATCGTTGATGAACCAAACACTCCATACGTCACCGAAAATACCCTAAACGTCGAGCATTAGCAATCACTCATGAGACATAGAGCACAAAGGCCGCATACCCTGTGGTAACACCTATTCAGCTGATCGAAATGATGCCCATCATAGTCCGTGGGGGTAGTAGAGCACATCTCTCGCCAATTATCCCATGATGGCTGGTGATTCCCCATATGGGCTTCGATACGCTACAGCGACATTAGGCTGGTCGATGCATCAACATAGATGAACATACATGACGCATCGAACCTTTGCTACACAGATATATGTACCTTTTCATTAATGGATGTCTTGGAAATACATTACTTAAAGTGTACACTTAAGTGATATCCACACTCACTCGCTGGATACAGAGTATCCCAAACTGCCCCTTGTCTCTTGTCCCCGAAAACACAGCCTTCAGAAGAAACGAAATCCACACGGGAATGCACCCTTGGACCTTGACTCCTGAAGCTAAATCCACCGCTGCATCCAGAAGGGTTCGAACTCGATCTTTGAGTTGAGAGCCGGAAAAGGCAAAATGATATTAATAGAACATTCTTTCGAGGAGCACAACGAAATTTTACAAGTTACTATACACAGCATCGCGGCATGTCAAAGACAAATGGAGGCAACAGCAGGAATCTGCTAACATTCGCATGAGCGGAGGTAAGTCGAACTAATCACAGAAAGGCTTACTTTGTTCACCAAGCAGAGAATGTTATTAAAAGCGGAAGGGCGATGCGTGAGTCATCGGAAAATGATCCTGGGAAGAGCCATCCAAAGGGTTTGATAACAACTTGAAAGCTGTGAGAAATTAGCCATTGTAAGACGCTGATTAATACCAGACCTGTAACGAATAGAATACCGAACCAGCCTCGTGCCTTCAATATACTGGATAAGACGCTGGACCTCTCCAGGAATCCGAATTTTGAGGACGGTGCGGGTATTTCGTCATCGGAGTATTTGGAAGTGCCTGAAAAAAGTTCAGGAAAGGTTCTAGGAAAGACTACAACCAAGTGCATACCATTACCGAGATAAAAGCCTCTTGATGTTACGCACATGTGCTCGCTTCATGAACTCTCCGGGTGGTAGGTAAATTCCATGTCAGATAATGACGTATGACCTCGAAAAGGTGTCCCTATGTGTTGATTGAGGCATCAATGACTAGCCAGAAAATTATAGGCATGCACACTGAACTGTCGACGACCCCGGGACGCTGCACTGAGTTTTCAGTTATTTCTGCTGAACTTAGAGTCGCCGTTCTTTGTAGATATCACCCGAGGCGACGATCCAGTTTAAATATAGGGTACATGCCACAAGGCCGAATATATGCGCTTTGCAGAAAACTTTGTATTTTTTTCAGTATGGGAGAAACGGGATAAAGATCGACATACAAATATTGTTGATCTCCCAGAATGAAGCTCTTGTGTCGTTCGACTTTAAGTACAGAATATTTGAATAAGAGACAAGAAGAGAGGCGCAACATAATGGTGATGTTAGTGGTAGAAAGAACAGCGACATCGGACCCTCAATTGACCATAACTGGTAACATAACGAGATATCATCGGCATCTATCCGCACAGCGCTGCCATCATCATCATGGCGAGCTGGCATTATGTTTTTCCTCATTCTTGACCATTACTTTCCAGGAATCTCGTCACAAGTTTTACTAGAAAGCGGAATTTAGTATATAACAGGTAACTTGTGGTCTGAACCCTGGCTGTTTCACAATTTACGCCCGTGATTCATTTCTGAGTCAGCTTTCGTAGAAATGGACTGACATTGTTTTAGTATTCAACAGAGTGCGAATTTCCATATACAATCTAGAGACACTTGTATTTTTCATACCGGCGCTCTGGAAACAGATAATTGGGATGGCGATGATTTGATGGTTTCACCAAAACGTTGCATTAGTACAGCCTTGGTTTCAATGACATCAAAGCCGTGAGTAACACTGGTTGTCTCTATGCTTGAATAAGGAGGATAGCGCTTTGCCCTAGGTCACATTATCGATTCAATGAAGCTAGTCTCATGTAACTGATGGCATCTTTGAATACATTCGCATTTCACGAAAGACCTACAGGCATAATCCTCCACCACTGTTCCGTCCAATGCACCCATTATTGGACAACAAGCCAGAAGCTTCGATAACCTTGAGAAATAACTTCGCTCACCAATTCTCATGTGTTATAAAGTTATCCTCTTCATAGGTTCCGAGTTTTCGGTCAACAGCTGAATATATTCATAGAACTCGGTTCCCTTCCCCTTTTCGTCCTTATCACTGCCAACTAGTACATAAAAGTCAAGCCTTCGTAATAAGCACTCATTTCTACCGTCACTCCTAACAACACCAGACGACTGTACTATTACGATGGAAGAAGAGGAACCGGAGAAAGTAAAGTTTCTTCCCTCTTCCAGTTCACAAGAAGAATCGTCTAGTCTAATCAACTCCGATCTTTCTCCCCCACGTTCTTCTTCCATGTTACCTTCATCTACCGGGATCGCACGACTCGGAAACACACTATGGATGATTATCGGACTCCTAATCGTTGCTGCAGCCACCGCTACGCTGCATCACCTGTTTCTATCCTTCCTACATGGTCGCGAGGTGCAACAGCAGTTCTGGATCAAGAACTCTTCAAACGCACTGAGTACATCTATCCAATGGCTCTGTGCCGCCTCGGTCTCTCTGTCACTCACGCAGCTCGTAAGAATTTAATAGTCGAGCGCAGAATAATAGATTTACAGTCCCCACAGATCTGGTGGTTCATCCGTCGCCGGCCTTTTACGGTGGTTCAGCTGAACCATCTATTCGGATTACCAAGTCCGTTTTTGATTATCATCATGGGACTGTTTTAGAGCTGAAGGGAGGATGTATAGATAAATAATGACGCAAGCGTATCAGATATACTTCGGGAGAGATATATAAAGGGCGAGGTCCCCAAACTCCAATTTACGTGCCTGTCCATTGTCAAAAGTGAAAGGATTACAAGGGTTTCGTAGTCCATAAGCAATGTGGGTCATTAACAACTAGATTCATAGAGAAAAGAGGATTTTCAAAGGATCTTGGCTTTGAGTTCGTGATCGAGGAGGGGAGAGACAAAGTTTTGGGCTGCTGAGCTTTGATCTCATTGAACAGTGGCTCGTAACACTGTGAGATCCCCGAAGTGAGAAAGCATGAATCTGAGCTCGCCGATACACTATCAATGTCTTCTGGCCTCTCAACCAAACAAAGCAGTGTTTTATCTTGCTCTTCGGACGCGAATTTATGACGCTCTTATAAATTCCACAATGTCGCTGTCAGTTGCTGCTGGGAATCCTTTTCCCGTATGTCCACACAGTGAAGGGTTTGATAAGTGCCTAGTCAGAACTACTAACCCCTGCACTGCGATTATGCCAGGACATCGGTGTACGTTGGCGAGATACCGCGGAACGGGATAGAGTATTCCTTATATTCAGGTCTCGTACAACTTGTTCGATATGATAGTTCTCACGTGTTCACTACATCAAAATTGTCCATAGCGCAAAGAAGGGAGGGTGAGGAGAGGCTCCTAACGAAGACATAAAAGACCAGAAATGAACGTCCGAGCGGTCCAGCGTTGTCCGAGAGCCTATTTTTCCATTTCGTTTTATCAGAGAACGATGGTGACCAGGGAAGAAGAAAGGGTCGCGTACAAAGTCATCACAAGTTCCCCCACCGATCCCCCACACCCAAGAGTGCCCCATTGATCGCCTGTTTTATAATTTTCGTGGATCATCAGCGAGAGTGGGAAGAGTTATTGATATTACTGTTAGGATGGTAATAGCCACGTCCACGACTGTAATGATGATACCGCTACTTGGAGGGATTACCCGGCTGCGTCGATAGCCTCGGTGAGTTGGCCAAGCAGCGGTGTGATGTTCTCATCTGTGGCGGTTCCTTTGGCTATGAGAGTAAGAGAGCGTCACCGTCAACAGAAAGACTTACACACCAATTTGTGGAAGGATACCCGTCGATGGAGGTCTTGAGGACGCAGAGAATGCTGGTGAGCTCGGGAGCAGTGTGGGAGATGAGCCCAGTAGCGAGGGAGAAGAACGATGCAGGAAGTGAACATGATGAGCAAGTAATAACACAGTGCTGGTCTTTTAAGGTCCCCTATGCGGGGGGGTTTTTTTAATAGTGGTTGATCAGTAACCAGAGCCGCGCTAGCCCCTGATGTGAGACTGAGACGTAATCACAGAAGAAAAGCGAGCACTATAGATACATAAAAGAATTTGCGATGCAATGAGTGATGCCGTCTGGTGGAAATGACAAGCTAGAAGTAGAGCTAGACGACTCATCGATCCGTGGAGGATGGATGCTTTCAGAAATTGAAGTGCATGCACGCATATCGTGGAATGATGCCGAACGCTGGTGGGAAATCTCATAGAATTTGATGTCGCCAAACTTTTTTAGCACTCTTGAACGCAATGGCTCTTTGGCGTTGACATGGCTTCCAGAGGAGAGTATGTACAATGGTAAATTGTTAAAAAGGCGTTCTGTCAGAGGAGATTAGTGAAATTACCTCTGGTATTGCTGGTTATTTTCGAAAATTGAGGCAATCGAGGGCAAAAGAATACTTTCAGAGGCAGGGACGATCATTTATTCCTGGGTGAGTAAGAATCTCGGTACCGTCTTTGGTCAACCTATTGTCTCCTTGCTGATGGCTATGTCATTCGACGATGTGTGACCCTGTTATAGATCCGGTTGGGTGGTACATTCTGGACACTTCACGGCTAATATGAGTCAACCTGCAAAAAATAGTCTTAACAGGCCCAGAATTCTGAATCTGTTTGCCATACCGTCGATTAGTGGAAAGATTGGCCCAACGTGGGGAAGAAAGGCGGTTCGATTCCGTGTAGCAGCTAGTCGTGGATGATAGGCATGTTCGTTTTTACATAAGTGGTGAGATGGGAGTTACTCAGGAACAAATATACCTGAGAGCGACGGTTAGCACACTGAACGTCAGAATGGGAGGCGGTGGACCTGAACACCCATGGCCGTTTCGTGAAGAGAAAATCCTTTCACGTTCGTCCACAACAAGTGCTTCATCTCAACTGAAATACAAATCTCACATGTTTAGAATCCTTTCGTAGACTAATCAGATTCTGCTTGACATGAATCCCTTCTAGAAATGGCGGATTTTACTCTCAATAACATAGCAGCACTTCGAGCGCCAGTGCAGCATAACTATGACGGATGCCGGAGTCTAATGAGTGCTCGCTGAATGCTGAAGGCCATTTTTATCGTATATTCAGGATTGGACGCAAGTGCCGTGGATAAGTGGAAGACCTCCCTGACGACGGGTAGGAGATATGGTTCGATTCCGTCTAGCGGCTTGAGGAGGCGGTTTTCTAGATACTTTTACAAAACGAATAGCCTCAATATTGGGTGAAGAGAGAGAGTGGGGAGGGACGGGCATTCAAGTTAATGTTGAACTCACACAGCTAACAGTTATGCTTAAGTATTACGCATGAGGTAGGACATTCGGCTGATGATGCCCATTCACGGAGGAGAACCGCCTCAGTTTTGGAGATGAGAAGAAACGGTGTCAGGAAAAGAAGAAGAGTCGTTCCTATTGAAGATTGTTGGCTTCATAAAGATTCGGACCGGAAAAATAACCGAAGCTCGGGCCACCATTCCTTTCCTCTTATAGTTACGACTTTTTTTTTGAACGTTTCGTCATTATCTACAACGAATACTTCCATGTCAACAAGGAAGCCATTATACCGCCTTGCGGATCCAAAAACTGGTCGGTAGGATTCCCCTGCTTCTTCTCAGCCAGAGCTGATTTCAGTCAGGCACGGCCATATTCTTCCCTGAAATCCGTCAGGGCCGTCATTTGTCCTATGATCCCCCTTTGAGTGAAGATCTGATGTGCACACGGTTATGGACACCTCGCCGTGTACAATGTATGCGGATCCCTTGCAGACGCATATGTCACAGGTGGGGTGGCGTTGGAACCGTATCGCTGGGTCCAAGAGAGGGGAATCGCTGGTAATACTCGCAGTTGTAGCAACGGACAAGCGGGAATCCACAGCAATGCAACACGTGATCGCGGCGGAACGGGACCGTGCCAATGCTCCCAGCGTAACCTTCATTTCGAGACCCTGGATGCGAAGGTAACGTCCGATTCTCCGCTCAATCCAAGCATATTATCATCCATTGTATATGTGCACCTCTCTGTTCGAGGTATCCCCTTTCTCAGATCTATCTAGGGTTAATATATGTCCACAGGGTGGTTTTTGTACCACTTGGGTCCGAAGAGATTCCAGCGTTCTCCACCAGATTTCGATGGAAAAGTTCAGCTCAGCCACAAGGTACGCCCCCGAGTGCCAGTGATGTCAACGGGTCGGGTGAGTATGCGCAGGGTCCCAGAGGACATATTGGGAGTCCTGGGGATCTCGACCTTGGATCTCGAACAGGTCGGTGCGGGAGACGTACATGCATCGATATCTACGCCTTTAGATCTTAGACAGCGATTCTGGGGGAGGGGCCCCGCTTTCTTGAAGCCAATGAAAGCGTACATGTACGTTTTCGTGGAACTTACCTCGATCGCATACACAAGTTCTCCGATGACAGAAGCGACAGACACCATTCTGTCCCCTTTCTTTCTCCAATAAATCATGAGTCAATTATTTATACCACCACTGCCGCGGCGCACTTTTTCATATTATGTAACCGATCCATAGTTCCTGAGACCTGAGTGGTGGGCATTTATCTTCGCCTTCATGTCTCGTTGGATGGGTGGTTGCTTTGATATGTATGAGTATTGGGACTTCCTACACACTCCTGTAAGGTCGTATCACAGCTGCTGTGAGGTCTTATCGTATTTTCATACAGGGCGGGTTTGACAAATGCCTATGGACAATTTTCAGCACCACCATTGCGATAAGCGATTTAGGGACAGGACATGTCTCTGTGTGTTTGGGCGAGATACCGTAGAACATGATAGAGCATTTGTTATATTCAGATGCATAAAGGTCTTGTACGACTGACTGTTCGATATGGTATTTCTCCGATACTCCCTACATCAAAATTGTCCATGGTACAAACACAGCAGACATGTAGGAAGAAGGATCGGGGAGGTGATGCACTGAACTAAAGAAGACCAGGAAGGCCACTTCCGAGCAGTCCAGCGACGTCTCCGAGCCTCGTTTTTCCATTTCGTTTTATCAGAGAATGACGATGAGCGAAAGATGCTAACTAAACGTCGCGGGTAGAGAAAAACACTCTGCAGCGATAATATAAAATTAATGTCGATGGCGCCATCAAAGAACACTTAAGTCAGTAGATCATCGATCATGGTTCGGGACTGGCGTTGAAATGGTGCATCATCCTAACTTCGCACGGGAAGCGGTTATCCTTCCTAATGACTGAGAGACTCGGAAACACGGATGCCGGGGTCTAATGGGTGCTGAGTGCCGAAGGATGTTTTTCATCGCACAACCAGCATTGGGACGCAACTGCCGTAGGTCAGCGGAAGACGTCCCTGCACTTCTGACGTAGGATAGGGTAGGGCAGGAGATACGGATCGATTCCGTCTAGCGGGATGAGGTGGATGGGTTCAACAGGTAATCCTTTTACATATGAATGACTTCAATATTGTCTTAAAGACCCTGTCTTCAAGTTAACATTCAGGTCTTTGGCGCATGAACACATGGGCGAGGCGAGATAAAAGAAGAGACATTCGTGGCACAGAGACCCTGTAGACATAACTGAATGCTACACAGAATTATACGCGTTAGAAGTCAAGCCTTATAGATGAACGGAAAATTGCACAGAGCATAAACCCGTCGCAAGAGGATGTCGAACTATCCGAACTGCATCCCAATCGGTGTTTGTGTGTCCTCGTATGCAGAGTGAGTCCCCGTAATATGGTTGACCCGAGAAACACGCTTGACACTCTCGCCTGACAATAATCCCAGAATGACGAAAAAGTGCATCAAGGGGCTGTCATACCTTTGCTGCAAACGCGATCCGTCAAATGACCATCAAGGGACCATGTCAGAGTTGCAGGCCCGAAATTCCACACGAACTTGAATGATGGAGGGCGTCACATGGACAATACATCAGCTCAGCCACGAGTTCACACATCCTGTCGCCATGACGTCAAATACAAGGATTACAGTCTGTGCCGCGAGCACGGAATGTGACCGATGACTGGCATTTCTCAGCCCTATTCTGTAGGCCAGAATATTGTTCCTATCGTCCCATTGCTGCATCTGATCGTGTTTGCTGCGAGTGCTCCATCATGGATACTCTGACTCTGATGTCTGTAATGACCATGGATCGATCGCGAAACCATTATTGACCTAGAAGAGCACAAGATACGCATGACACACATCAGGAAACGGAAGATAATGAAGAGCAGTGTCACGTACTTTTTCTGCATCTACGACCCCCTTATACGCGCGCTACAGCTACCACAAACGACTCCAGAAAACCGGTTGCTCGACTATGTCTTGACCTTGACCTGGACGATATGACGCGCTATCGCATCGAGGGTGCTGATAGACGTGATGAGAGGCGATGAGGCAGCACAGGTACGGTGGGCATCCCTAGCAACCTGGGTAATTATCACCTTCGGTTCAGTATCTGGCTTATGGGTCACATTGAATGGCACCTTTCGTGTACAAGTCGTGGTACTTTGCTACCACGAGAAATACATAGAAGCGACATTGACGTTCGTATTGCAAAGTTTGGGGGAACAGACTGCCTAGACGAGTGTTCAGTGGTCAAAGGAGTATGTACTTACTTGTCATCGACAGGTTGTGAAAGTAGCTGTGAAGAGCACTGTCCGGGGCCGGCCCGTACAAAAGGACATTCCCTAAAGTTTCCCACGGCCTCGTGGTTTCGGACTACGACCGTCCCATCATTTTCATCAACTGTTCTTTGCGGCAGGAGGTTGGCCTTGGAACGTAGGGACGCGAAGAAACAATTTGAGGCTGGGGAAGCTAGAATATTTTTACCTGCTATCTTTGAATAGGAAAATCTATGCAAAATTCTACTGCAGGTGATTTTTCTGCTATCTAACGGAGATACATGGCAAATATCTCGTCGGCGCGATTCAGGCGAGGTTTCCGAGAGGAGTGGGTGCCGGCATGTCATAACCATCGTCTCTCATGACGTCTATCAGCACCCTCGATGCGACAGCGCGTCATATCGTCCAGGTCAAGGCCAAGACATAGTCGAGCAACCGGTTTTAATGGCCTCGTCACCATCCGACTGTCATGGTAAGAGCCTATATGCTATAAGATCGTCTCATTCCACATCTCAGCACATGCGTTCTGCATCATTTTGCATGTGCCGATTTATTTCCTAGTGCACATTCATTGGACCCGTTTGCCTATCTTCTTCATTGCCATACATAACTTTTATTTCACAGACAGACCGAAATTCAGCCCTTTCTCGACGTAGAGGATCGTAACCTCTGTTCTGGCCTCGAAAACAGATTAACCACGCACTCAACTCATTCCGGTTCGACTCATCTCGAAATTCGTTCCATATTCCCAGTTGCCTTCTCACGCAAATATGCCTCATTCTCCTGGGTTCTTGTCACTCTGCAGACTGGCTCTGTTTTAGGTTGTCCTCACCATAAACGTGCCCCTCATGGCTCTTCCCTCAACCCCCTCATATCCGGCACCCCCCTACGTACTGGAAAGCTGGAAGGCTCGATTATCGAAATCACCATCCACACTACAAGGATACCAAAATGCAGCCCCACTGATCCCAAACCATCAGTGAAGACTATCTGCAACGCTGAGACTTGCGTTCGTTTTTAGTTCCAAATTAAATGGTACGCAGACTGACAGATGCGTTGTAGAAGGGCAAAGCTTCTCGGTATCTGGGAGCATGGTGATGGGCACAAAGCTTATCGATACATTGCTTTCAAAGGAGACGTATCAAACAAAGCCAGACCGCGTGGTGGAGAGAGGACATTTTCTTTGCATCGCATTTTTATCATCTTAGAAACCCCATTATATCATAAGACAGACATATCATTTGTAATTACTATTCACGTCAACTTGTTTCCTCCTCCCAAGACTTCGAAAAGCCAGAATGAAAATGGGGATTGTGCGCCATCTTATAATATGCATCATACGTACCAGGGACAAGTAACGGCCCAACCCTATCTGGCCGTTCTTATTATTCGTCCTAGTTCGAGTCCGAGTCCGAATCCCAAATTGAGAAAAGATTCCCGTAATCCCTTGCTGTAAGGACCGGATATTCTGTCTCCAAGACAGTCATCCTCTGCCCCTCATAGAACGTATTCGGCTTATATGTCAGGTCGACCGACTTCAGATCATGCATATGTGACGTCGCTGACTTGAGCTTCTCAAAGTCATCTGCATAGTAAGCTCTGGTGCCCCTTATCGTAGAGGTAAAGGTCAATAAGGAGGCCGGCATCACAGCTAGGAGCATCTGACAGTGGAACGTTGATTCAGTCAATCCTATTTCCAACTGCTGGAGGGGGCATTTCGATCGTTTGACTAGAGGGACAACACCCTTATCGTGATTAGCGGAAAGAATCTGAAGACTGGGTAGAACGAGATGGTCTAGAATGGGCGGGAACTCAGTGCTTGTGGTGATAGTCAAGGATACGAGATAGGGAGCTGTGATGGCATCTGTACCCGGGGGAATGGTGTCGTTCATGAAAACGTGTATTCCCCAATGCTCAATAGACAAATAGAAACGTTCCAGAAAAGGAAAATTTTCCGCTCTCTAGCCGCCTGTACACATGGGTATATGACACTCTTGATTTGCGTCCAGGGAAGGTTACAGCACTGCAATATGCTGATATCGCCTCCAATCGTGTGGAGGGATGGCATGTCACGGAATGCGAAGGGGTCTATGGTTATAGATGAAGATGAAACTGGAACGATGTATAATGCACTGAGAATGGGAAGAGAACCTTCGATCTGGGCGATTTGAGACATGCAGTTCTCAGACAGAAAGAGCGTCTTCCATCGCCGGCATGACGAGATGAGAACGTCAATGATGGGAGGAAAGTCCTTCATGGAATGGGGTGCCGTAAATGCGACTTTTAGGGGGTGTGTTCCTGAACGATGGAGCTGAAGTATCAACATGTCTATACATTTGCGAGGCTTCTTATCTCGGATGTAGAGGTAGATGTTGGACCAAAGACTGCAGAAAGCTAACGAAACGGCACGCCACCTCCTGCAGACCTGTGATAAGGTCCAAGGACACTGTGAAGGATCCAGGGAACTCTTCGGGCGGAATGACGTTTTGTGCAAGAATCTGTCAACTTCGCTTCCCATGCCGTTTTCGTCGATGCATTGGAGGAATATCTCAGACAGAACTTCTGGAGGGAATCGTCTGATGGGGTGCAGGGCTTTCTTGCGCTGTGCAATATCTGACGTGATGGTCGACCGGAAGGTGGTGAGGGCTTTCTGAGCAGCAGAAAGTTCTGCAAGATGAGTGTCAAGTTCTTCAACGAAGTTCTGCTTGCCGGCTATGTAGCCTTCCAGAAACTTCGTGTCAGTATCTGAAATGGTGTCGTTGGACTCAAGAAACTGTCGCAAACGCCCTTCCAATGCTATTGGTGGTGTTTAATCAACGAAACGGCCATCGAGCCCACATCCACATTTGCGGCATGGGCATAGAGGAGACATCGGGAAAGATTCGCTGTTGATAAAATGAATTGTTATCCTGACAAGAAAAATTCTGGTTGAATGTTCGACTGACCTGCTTGAAGATCGATGATGCAGAGCCCGCGATATGCTATAACAAAACTGAATGATGACAAACTCCTGAAAGAGGAGCTTCAAATGAACGAACTCAGACGTGCTTTAAGCGACGCTTGATTAGTGGCAATACTTAGTGGTCGTGGTTCGGGTTGAGAGAGATATTGGAAATGGTATGCTCAGAAAGGTTCTCCGGCCGCTGTCGGCCCGCCAACGGATCACAAAAGTGGACTTGGGTGACAGAATTACGAGCATCGTAGTACGCCAAAGCAACGAGGATACCAGGCACTGTAGACTCACGGCGAGTGGGTCGCCTTGGAAGTTTAGATTAAGTAGTTCCGGCCCCTGCCGGAGGTATGATCTGGATATAGCAGGAACGGCGGGATATTTTCGTCGCGTATCAGCAACGTTTGGTGAAGGTCGGTACAGTCTATTGTCATTGTGGTCAGCGAAACTGTATAAATGACCATTTTCAAAGCAACTCGAGGGACCCGCAGACACGGATGGTAGAAATAGCTAACGGAAATAGATTTTCGTCGACAATCTTCGTGAGACTCTGCTTCTTTGCATGCCTCGAAGAGGAATATTGACGAAATACAGAGTCAAGCATCTGAGTGGATGGTTTCTTATTCTGGGATCTCCATTATCCAGACTGGACGCCACTTTCAGACGTCCTGATGGTCAGAGGTTCGATTGCGGTCAGCAACCTATGGACCATGTACGGATGCGCTTCACATAGGTGTCCGAAGAGGGACTGCCATCGCTAGGTGGTGTCGGGGATTCCATTTTGAAGATAGAGAGAGTATGAGAGAGCAGTAATAACGGAACCCACTGGTTTCTGATGGTACGAGTGCTAGCGCTAAGTAGGTAGGACAGGGTGCGTAACGATTAACAGAGGTCACGCTAGTGCTCTGGCAAAGTCCGGTGGCGAACTCTCAGAAGCTGCATTTTCCATATGAAGGCCTTTACTTTTTAAGGATAGTATATGAGCGTCGTCTCCTTATCGACGACCTTGTGTCTCCTGGGAAAGTCGCATAGTACTATTTTCGCAGGCTCATTCAACCAAACAATTCCGCGTGTCTGATATTACGTGTGTGCATGCCACAACGATGGAGGCAGTGTACATAACCCTGTGTTATCTCGAGTTCACCCCAGGCCATTATTTCCTTTACGATGGACGATAATAGTGCGTTCAAGGTCTGATTGCTTACCTTCTTCATCTGCCTTTCTCACAAATTCAAACAGTACTACCGGGACTTCAACGAGAAAGACCCTTCTGACACGGGGAAGCTTGTTTCGGGGAACATTGCTTCCCGGAATGATGACCACTCAGTGACATTCAAAGATATGCCGACCAAGCCAGAAATCATCAGGCTTAACTGGGAACACGAAGCTATATTCTTCTTTCGTTCTGATCATTTGTTTCCCAAATGTTCGACATCTCTCCATCCACAATGCCAAATTCAAGGCCACTCCACATAAATTGAAAGACTTCGGTAAAGCATTGGAATTGAAACAGTTCCTCGATCTCTGCAGCCTTGAGATCTGCTCTGAAGACTGGCCCGAGTTCCTGCATTTTCGTTGGCACAGTGCCATTAATCTATCCAAAAGAGAACCACAAATAATATCATGACAATGATGTCCCCATGCACTGCACAACATCGGACTCGACCAGCTGGAATCCTTAAGAATTGAAGAGAGGGGTTTGGCATCGGAACTTATATGTTCCAAGCTCAAATGGTTCTTTGATCATTTATCTCTTCCTACGAAGGAGGCAAATCTGAGCTTCGTAAAATTTCATGACGAGCTGGACATCGAACTCTGTTTCCTGCGCGGCACAGTAGGAATGCTTGGAGGGACCTGAATATTGTTATGATGAATAAGGATGGCAGCTGCCCTAAAGTTTTTTTGGGTCTTGGAGTTTCAGATGATATGACGAAGGGAATTTTGCGGATCTTCCTCGAAGGTTTTGACTACCCTGAGTGTAAGTCTGCCTTCTGAGTGAATTAGGAGCGGCTGTTTGAATGCTCGTGAGTTGGAGGTGACCAATCGAATAAGCCGGAATATGTAATCTGACTATTCATAATATTCTGTTACCGCTCCATTCATGTCGTGAGTCCTAAATCCTGGGTCTGCTCCCTGGCAAGCAGCTGCATTAGATACTTGTGGAATAGATGACGAAGCTCGGAGTGATGTCGGTAGTATTATCAACGGCCAGCCATCGACCACGACTTTGAACAAGTCCAGATTCACAGCACGTCTAAGTTTCTAGTAGTCATAGGACAGACAGCACCAAAGATTCATCTGATATATGAGGGTTTTACACACTAAGGCGAAAACGTCCGCGAATCAATGCCGAGCTGGAAAAGAGCCCTGTCATATGCGCTTTCATACAAGATCCCAATTTTGCCTTTAAAACCTTCTGGATTTTTTTTGTTGGCCCCCTTCCGGCGCCGTGCTAACTCAACTACTGGGTGGGGCTCAATGACATACTTCCGCCACTCCTGCGTGAGACCGAGGCGCATGTCCTAAATCTTTCACCTTTCGGGTCGTTGTTACGGACCATCAATGATCATGTCTGTCTGTGCCTTGGTTAACAGATATTACCTTTTATTCGAGCGACTATTGGATTGGGCTCGATCGAGTACTCCCACCACACCCATTCGAGACCGAGGCGCGTTTCCTGAATTGTTCACTCTTTGGTTCTTCGTTACGGACCATCAATGATCATGTTCTCGGAATCTATCTGTGCTGTATTCGCAGTAAGACGCCGCGTCTTAAGGCTTGCAGGAAATTACATGAACCTGATTGCGAGAGTGATAAGCTCTTTCGCCAGAAGACGGCGTCTATCTATAGAATCTTGTGATGACTCCGAATCTTGTGATGACTCCCTACGCTCTATGGACATTTCTAGAAAAGATAATGATACACGACTCTACGAGGTTGTTGTAATAATACATATGGAGTCTAAATGCATGCGAGAGAGAAATATGGTATTTCGAGGATTAGTTAATATTCTGGAAAGAAAGAAAGAAGACCATTAGAATGATCTTCCAAAACAGTTGTCTCAGCCTGCGAGACTCGATGGCGAATCACCACCAACTCGTCCCACAGATTCGAAGGAATCTCTTTATGCTTGCGCATAAATGACCGAATACGATCCAGCCATTCCTTCATTACATGAAACCTATTTTCCACAACCCCCTCAGTCTCACCTTCTCGAATAGCCAGCAGCGAAATTTGCGCTAGCCAATAGAACGGAAGAGCATCGTGCACAAAAAGCGGCACGTCATCGACATCCTTCCCATCTGGGCAAGACATCCACATACTAAACCAGTTTGTCAACGCGTATTGGGTCGCAAACTGATTCCCTTGACGGCCTTCATTACCGATTGGCTCGGGTGAAGTAGAAGACTCGGCAGCACCACTAGACGACCCGCAGCCCGAGTAGGAGAAGCAGATATTGCGGAGGATCGTATGGATCAGAATAAAATGCGAGAATGGGTTCAAGGGCGTCAGTGAAATTGTAAGTCTCATCTCGCCGAGATTAGCTAGAGCTTGCTGCATCCCAACACCGTATAGTCTAGCTGATCCCACACCGTACGGCGATGGTTTCTGCAACAGACCAATCCATTCCGCAGCAGTTTGCGCCTTCCATATGGCCTCGTCGCACGGAAGATTCATGTCAAATTCAGCAGTCTGAAACGACGGGCGCATTGAGAAAAAGACAGAGTGACAGCAGTCATGGAGATATGAGAGTAATATTGCGCTGAAGATGACACCGCCGATCAGCAACAGCCGATGTTATGCAGAAAGATATGAATTCACCGTTTCACAGATTCGTGGAGGGCCCAATCCTGCCAAGACTGTTCCAAAAGGAGAGGATCGTTCGGATCAGGAACCGTCCAAGAACGTGAGCGAGCGATGGCTTCTGACCGTCGGATCATCTATTGGCTTCTGTCAGAGACGGCCCAGTCCAGCATAAATAGACGGTAACCATACCATAACTAGCATCCCATGGTATACATTGGACGAAACCCGAAAATCGGAACGTTGGTGGAAGAGACCAATAGTCTGGAGCAATACAACGGCGAGTATAAGGAAATCCTGCTCCTTGAGACTACATGGCACTTTGATCTGGGCGTGTTGTTGCATTAGTATCAAAGATAGGTATTCGCTAAAGCGAAGTACTGACAAAATCATGGATGACGGCATCCCGCGTCGAAGACAAAGTTTCGGTTATAAAAGAGACGGCTTGGCGGGTTTTGAGAAACAGCGCACCGCATGCTTGCATTGCGCGAATGAGGATGGGCGGTTTGTCTTCTGTTGTCCACGACCCCGGGTGCACTAAAGGGATTTGTGTACAGAATGCGGAGAAAAATAGATATACTGGAGGGTATGTCAGCTATCAAAGTAATTATAGTATGCGGGTACCCACGGTATTGTTGGTGTTCTGTATGGAGCGATTGAGCGCTGATGAGTAAGTCTGCGCACACCGAAGACGCCGTATCAGAGGATGAGGGATTAAAAATTTCGCAGAAAGAAGTTTCATCATCCGAAAACGTAGAGATAGAAACGGAGCCGGAGGAGGAAGGCATGAAGGAAAAGTAGTCGACATTTAATCCAGGTCCTCCGTTAGCTGGGAACCATGGGAGTTTCGGCAACGTGGCAGTGGTGGAGAAAGAGGATTTATCGAAGAAGTCATCAAGCACGTCACCTGAGAATTGTCTTTCCATAGAATCATCATGTAGTTCACCATCACCATCAGCAATGATGACCGCTTTTTTGATGACAGGATCAAAGATGGCGGATAAGGAGGAACAATTTAACGAAGTGAAAGAGGAAGACGGGGTAGCGTCCGCAGCTACTGATAAGGTATGATCGAACGTAGGTAATATCTCACTGTTGTGAGGAGATTGAAGCGAACGTGATGAAGTTGTGGGCGATGAAAGTGGTTCTGGAGAACTGTCAGAGAGAAGCTCCGTTTGAATGCATCTCTTGATACGGCGTTTCTTGGCGTTATTCTTCTTTTCCCGCGAGACTGCCGGATCGTTGACATAGACGCATTCCCTGTTGCGAGAAATGCACTTTGAGCATGGATTGTCAAGATTACACTTGACTTTTGAGTCTGCACAAGCCTAAACGGACGTTGAGGAAAAGAGTGAAGCATCGTCGTCGTACTGTCGGACAGACCTGGCAAGACTTTCTTCGAGATCGAAGGAAACCGTGCCTATGATAACGCCGTTACTTGATTATTCAAGCCCGAGAAGGTGACTACTCACGGATCGCCGCACGCCCTTTTGTGTCTAGCCAGAACATCGCTCCTGTTGAACTCTGCACCACATATCTACCGTAGCTGGAATTAGCATACCGTTACAAGTGCATTCGCTCTGAAAATTCTGACCTCGCATCGATGTTCACGTTCGTTGGTATCTGCTCAGATGAGGTTTTAGTATTCAAGCACAGGAATACTGTAGTCGTGCCAAAAGCTTACGTGAACCAAAATGTCTGTTCAAGTGCGTCGTTCTGGTGAACTTGGCAGGACAAAGGGGACAATATTTTGTCTTCAACAACGTAGGCGTGTTTCCTCGACTAGAATGTACACGAGGTGTTTCTTGGTTTGTCTCGAGGTCGGTGACTGGACCCATGAACAGAAAAGTTGGGCAGCCGTGTGGTGAAAGCGGAGGGATGAAAAGCAGTGAGAGAAATGAATGGATGCGAAGAGGCGAGTTAAAAATGTCACAGCAAAGATTAGTGCGTAACCATGACGTCTCGAAAGGCTTTGTTTTAGAGAAGCCTTTCTTGGTCCTGCAAAGGCCGACAGTAAATCGGTATGAAAAACTTTCCCTTATGGAGCAGTGAAGTTGAGGGGCCTTTTCGCTTTATAGCGCCAAAAATAAGGGGATAAAAACCGACCTTTTAAGGTCCCATTTTGGCTTTCGAAAATGAACCAGCGTCTGCAGTAAGTAGTCCTCCATCCATGGGAATCCATTACCGTAGAATCAGCCCTAGTCCATAACCTCTGAGGAGCCCATTCACTACAATATCTGATGACCGAAAATGATAAAAATAGACACTGACATTCCAAGTGAGAATATACCCGACCATCTTCCGTACCGGAGTGAAGAGTCATTGATAACCAGGCACCAACATGGCATGATAGTAAGCGGGAAATGGCAGGACATACTGGGAACACAAAATAGTGTAGCTGACCGAGATACTGTTGTCTCCCACAATGACTTGAGCAGATAACAAAGTATTGGCCAGTCAACTCAATATTAGAAGCTATATTGACAGAATGTTTCTAAACAATATTTGTCAGAAAGGAAACACTCGGTAAATGTACGAGATAGAACCATCAGTCTTCGCCGGGGTGGATGACAATAATCTAGGCCCACACTTGGGAGCATTGATTCCTACCCGAAGTATCCTTTGCCGACCGGTGGCCTTCTATTACTGTACCTTTGCCTTTAGTCCAGCTTCAACAATAAATTTCCATCCTACCTTCCTTAGAGTTCAATTTACGGTCGGAGACTTATTGATAGTTCCCAGAGGGTAGTGAAAGTCTTGCTCATGGACGAAAGGGCGGACTTAAGTGGGGGTGATTACTGACTCTCGTTACGGCACGTGCCTAATAATTGATAACGGTATAAGATAATCACTTGATACACACGCGGAACTCGAGTATAAGAAAGTTTCGGTTTACTTACCTGATCAAAGGAGGCCATTAAAATTTATGGCTGAATATGGGCCAGAATAACACAAGAGGTTCAGTAACTAGCCTCCTCGGTGCAAGGAGATCCCGAGTCATGGAATTCGGGGTACCTGAGTTATTTCAGTGGCGGTGTATGATCGCGATAGTCGGAAAAATTTCCCTGCCACTTCGTTCACAAACACCTCGGAAACGCCGCAATAAACTTGTCATTAAAAAAGAGAAAATGTCAGCAGAATCATAGGAGTGGCAAGGAAACTAAGAGGTGAATTCTCTTCCTTGTCATCAAGCATGTCCCGATGAAAGGCGATCAGGGAAAAGGATGTGCCAATATGCCGCCGGTGGCAAATTCCTGTGTATTTTAGCTCATCAACCTCAAAAGCTTTCGTTTTATTGAAGCCTTTCTCGGTCCTGAATTGCCATTAGGAAACCGGATTTCCCCCTGTGGAACGATGGGATTAAGCTATGTTTTCATTTTCTAGCACTCAAAACAAGGGTATAAAAACTGAACCTGAAATCGAGAGCCCCGGCGCGGACATATCCCCGAACAAATCGAGCTGAACCTCCACCACCTTCTGCACCAGCGCCAACAACATCACCATAGCTGCATCAGGCTTCTACCTTATCGTAATCGGGAATGAAGTGGTGGGCGCCATATGCATGGAAGACACCCTCCATGTGCGAATACGGTCAACATCATGTTACCCGGCGCCATATACATGTACCCCAGATGTCATATGAACGCGAGACGTTGAGGATGATGGTTGGCCGGGGATGCTGTTCAGTTCGCGGGAGAAGTCCCAATAAAGATGGTGATGGTCGAGCAGTGGAGGATGATACTTTTGAGCGTGGCTGTTGCTGGAGAGTCATCGTCGAACTGCAGGACCAGTGCGGACTCTTCGACAAGATTTTGTACAGGCGGGCTATAGGGACTGCGCTCAACAGATGTTCCCGGAGCATTATCGAAGGGGAAGGGCATCCTGCACAAAGATGTATCCGGTCACATAAATAGTCGTCAGCCGGTCTTGAAGGAATATAATCTTCTGCGCTTCTACTTCAATATGATTTTCGTGCCCCACCGGTTACGTAACGTATATTCCTGTCATGAGAAGGAGGCGAGAGCTGTGGCCACGACGTTCCCGAGAGGTCATGATACCGTTTCGGGAAGAACGAGGGTATGTTTGTCCACAGGGGGGGATGTGAATGAACCCAGGACTTCCACCACGGATGTTCATACCAAGGTGAGAGGGAAACCGGCTCGCATCATCTTCAGTCTGGCATATGTAGTGCCAAAGAAGGTTCTGTTGCAGGATTGTACGTAGGAGATGATGGAATCGAGAAGCTCTTCGTCGTCCGGAGGATGGCGCTTGCCATAATCATTCTTGGTGAACCTTGGTATGGCACGAGCTCTTGGAGACGAATATACTTTGGGCAGTTTCTGGAAGATTTTAATAATCCGTGGTCCTCGCATGCAGAAAGAGAACCGCACCCTATGGCTTCGTTGACATGAACTTCAAATTGGTATCCATCCTGTACCACTTTCTCTTCCACACAAATGCATTCCTGCGACGCGCTTCGGACGTGGAGGGCGGTTGTGATGTAACAATCGACGGGAAAGCTCGATACGGTAACAAGTCAACATGAGCGTAAAGTCAACCATCCCATTATTAACACATCCTATGGCTCCTGCACCTAGAATATTGGGTGGTGATACAAAGGTCTCAGAGGCGCTGGTAGTGTGGACAGTCCAGTGAACAGATATTGGTAGAAGGGAAGAAAAGGGAAATCAAAAGCCCACGTGTTACTACAGCTTTCGCCGAAGTGCCGCGATATCGATAAGTACTTGGCAATTCCAGCGCACGAAAAGCAAAGGCTTTAACAGCTGCGGAACCATCCAGGTGACAACGATAGAGCTGTAGAAAGACATGGTGGCTGTTGCTAGGTAGCAGACGCCAGGGCCGGGCGTACACGTAAAGGAGGCGCCCAGGTATCAGGTACGAGATGAATATGTATCCCTTCACAGACAGTCGATCTGGAGGGAACACACTCATAGGCATGCCTGGTCCAGTGCGGTACCGAAAAGGGTATCACCAGTGACAAATAAATGAGGGTGAGATACACGCAAGGTCAGAGAGCGGTTCCCAGAAAAGCCAAGAAAGACGAGGTTCGCTCACTATCAAGTGTGTTCACATAGATCTGAGAGAGGGATCTGCTCGCATCGCCTGCATGTAGTATATCGCAGGATATGGAATGGAAGACAGCGCCTGTCGTAAATCGTCGTCTGTCGGATGGAAAAACTCGTAGAGAGATAAAGTTGGGACAATTCCTAGCAAAAGAATCAGATGTGATCCTGTGTCGCAGAGAGAAATCATGCCTAATGGCTTCGTTGACATGGACCACTATAATGCCATGTTTCTTCGTTATCATCCACGAAAACTTGTCCTTTCAGGGCTGCATCGAACTCTTTCTCCATCATCGAACTCTCTCTCCATCATCCTTCGCGTGGCTGGTTAGCGGGGACGTTCCCTACTTTGGCGTTGAACGACAGGCTCGACCTTGCTAGACCAGCGGGGGCAGACCTCCAAGGCCGTCCCAAGGAATCCAGAGTCTTACTCGGGAAAAAAGGAAGTCGAGCAGTGTAGAAAATACCATAGTCGCGCTGTTTCTCCTGAGTGTCATGGAAGTGAGATGGGGCAGCGAGATGGTTCCCATGTCGTTAATTTCGAGACTCTTGATACGCTTCGCTTGTCGAAGAAGATCAAGGTCCTGCACTGGAAACAGTAAGTGGGTAAGATGGATCCAGGAGATTAAGGGAATGACCATCGGTTGCGGCATCTCCTCATCGAGGACTTGAAAATTCGGTGCATAGCCAAACGCATCATATATCTGCGACGTAGGCTCACCAGTGGCATCAGCTGATTTGACTTTCAGATGACGGAGCCTATTCCAACTCCTCCGACCGCAGGAAAGACCATGCATGGAACAAAGACGACTGCATAAAACGAATAGATTTTTGATAGAGAAAGCGTGGTGGAAATGAGGGAGAGAAAGGGATCGTCTGTAACTTCGATGGTACTGCGAATCCATACGGTGAGGGGTGTGTTCCGTGACCTTTCAAGATGGATTCCAAGCATGAAAATTGGGTAGTAAATAGAAGACAAAGGATCATTGAGATCCTACACGATATCGAGCACGATAGATGGCCACAGATCCAGTGAGCTGACATTAGCTGCTCTCCTGCTCTGGAAGACTTGAGACAACGTCCACGGGTATCTCTTTGCATCCAGACTATCGTATGTTGGGATTTTGCTGGAAAGCTCTAGAAAGGGCAATCCGGCATCATGCCGAGAGTTGATGAGTAAGCTCAAGAGAAGGAGAAAGTTGTAGTAAGTTCTAGATATAATTCTGGAGAGTATAAATACAAGCTCTGTAGGAGCTGTAGAATAAGGAGTTCATACCTTCTGGCCTTACCAGCCTGGAGTCTACCCTGCGCATCACCGAGGATTTCCAACATCGTAGAAGTCAATGCTTTGGGACATTATTTCGAAAGGGGAAGGGATGATCTCAAGAGCGATAGAGCGAAGAACATCAGGGAGTAATCTTCTCACTGGAAAAGAGAGTACTTTGGTGTCCTCGATTTTCACCTCCACCAAATTACGTTCATTGATAAGAACTTTGGCACGCGCGATCTCCTCATCAAGATTCGCGAGACGCTTAGGCCCCCACTTGATGATTATGTCCTGGAAATCGGATGGCTCTCTATCCGAAGGAACCTCGCTACATCAGAGTAGACCTGATATGCGAGGCGACCGTGCGTCTCCTGGTAAGGTTCCGTCGATGTAGATCCACTTTTGGAACTGGCGTCAAGAGGGGTGGCTTCCTTCAGCTGTACAGAGAGGCGAGCTCAGTAAGAAGCGAAGGAATGGAGTGCCTGCGACAGTCATCGTTCGTTGTTAGTAAGGGTTGACCTCGGCGCCTTGTTATGTTTTGATTTTCTGGCGGTTGCTACATCGACTTGAGAAAGAAGAGTGAGAGAAAAGGATGACTCGCCAGTACCAACCATTTTCATCCTACTCCGAGCACCAGCCTTGAGAAATAGCACCTAGCGTAGGCATCGCCACGACGGAAACTTGGACAGAGGGAAGAAAGATAACTTTCCCCAGATAGAATTCTAATACGTATTACGTGATTGAAATGTAGACGCGCCTTGGACTCGAGTCAGACTCGGCGCAGACCGAATACCGACATTGCACTGAAACACAGCGCTGATACTACGTCATGGCTAAATAGAATGTATCTACGGACAACGAGAACGGCACGGTTCGAGTCCGTATCGTTGGGTTTGAGGTTTAGCTTGCGCTTTTTTTCCTATAATCTTCGGTGATCGTATTCTTCCCTCACTACAATTCTTCCTTCTTTTTACAGGAAATACAATCGAGTCCGAGAAGTCCTCAGTAAGTTATACGGTGCCTCTGACAAGAGTAAGAGTCGGGGAGTTCCGCTTTTCCCAATACCCTTCGGAAATGGCGCAAATTACAGTAATATGGCGTAATGGACATCTAAAGTGGAAATTTCCAGAGATATATATGAACAATAAGAGCAGTCACGGTAAACAATTATCTCTGTTGCTGGATACATCTTCTATGCAACTTCGTGTTCCGATTTTTGGCGAGAACACATAGACAATTAGCTGTACATACCTGCCATATTTTCTGGTCCCAGACACACGTCGTTCCCGTTATTATGAGATAATATGTCGGGCCACATATTTTTCGTTCTCCGGGATGCGATATCTAGGATCCCTTTTCTTAGCCATCATCATTGCGAATGTGTGTTGTTCCCAGTTCGTGGCGCTGGGAACCGAGCGAACGCGGATCCATGGAGCCCTCCAACACCTTAGCTGAAACAATTAGAGAAACAGCAACTTTTTAAACGGTTCTGATCCCAAATTCTCTACTGAAGAAAAGGATAGGTGATAGCAGTGTCCTTGCATGAGGTCCCAGATGAGCTACGGAATTTGTAGCCCAGAGAACTAGGGGTCCGGGGAGTTGAGGGGTGGCAAACAATTTTTCTCTGCACCCTTTTACAATACACACCCGTTGCGAAGGCTTGGAATTGGATCCTCGACCCGACAGCCGGTCGTCTATAAGCTGCAGTCTGTCGTCCCTTGCTAATTTTTAGATGCTGCCAACCTGGAGAAGCATAAATTCCTGTACCCAAACGAAGAAGTGCTGGTGTCCTCTCAACTGTCGCTAGAGCATATCATTCGTGTCATGGTAGATCAACGGTAGATGGTCTCCGACTTATTGTTGTATATTTGTGTACCATCGGAGGAAATCACGGTTCAACTCCGTATCGTGGCAATAATGGACGCCAGGCAGCTTACTTTTGCATATTTTACGATTTCGCAGATTGGATGATCTCAAAAAGTACCATGTGGATAGTGAAACAATATCGCTAGGTCCAAGAGGGAGAATGGGGAAACACTGGAAAATGCTCAACTCAATAATACCACATCGAGTGCGCATACATACAGCGACATCATGTGCGTAATGGACGGAGCTTACTAAACTGAGGCCAAAGAGGGAACGGGCAACACAGGAGATGCATATGAGAACAGATAATTGGCCAGCGACGTGAGCAGGAAGCAAAGCAACCACCTCTATCTATAACTCCTTTGAGCACTAGGCACCTAGCGGTCCGGCATTGCCATAGGTGCAGCGACGGAAAGACGACATTCCCAAAACAGAAGGGCAACATGTACCACATGATTCTGTGAAGAATCTAGTCGAAGTACATCGTACTGAAACAGAGGGCTCAGGGCTAATATCAACATAGATAACTAGAATACTCGAACCCGGGTCATTCAGCCCAACGCCCCGAATCTCGGAATTCATATTCAGTGGGGACCATGGTGTGAGTTGTTTGATACGCCTATGCCGTTCACGTTGTCATGAGAATAATATATTTGTTCCCCCTTCGGGATGGGATGCTTTACTCCAAGGGATCATTTCAATTGTCATTCCAGATGTGCGCTGGAACCGAGCGAATGCGGATTCATGGAGCGACTCACTCCGTGTTCCCCAACAGGTGGTAGCAGGGCCCTTCCCTGTATGTGTCTTAGGCAGGTCCAAAGACGAGCTACGGATTAGGCTTTGATGATTGTGACAACACGCCGGTTGCTACTCTGAGCTAAACCATATTACAAAAAGATCGACGACGAAAAGACATGATCAGTAATGAAAGATACGATAGACACCCCGAGCTGTCCTATGAACCCTGAAAAGTCGAGGATAATGGCTTGGCCGGGGATAATTATCCAGGTCGCAGGAGGAGTCCCACGTGAAGGTAGCGATAGTCGAGCTCTGGGAGTGTGATACTTCTAAGAGCGTCCCTCATGAAAATGTACCCCGCCACATAAATAGTCGTCAGTCGCTCTTGAAGGAAAATGATCTTCTGCGCACCTGGTCCAATATGATTTCGGGCGGGACAGTTACGTAAAGGATATCCCCCATCGTGAACGAGATAAAGGTGAGAGACGCAAGAGCTGTGGCCTTGACGTTCCCGACAGAGGGTTATGATGCGGTTCCCGGAAAAGTCAGGGAGAACGAGGGAGGGTACGTTTGTCTACAGGCCGGACGCGAATGAACCCAGGTCTTCCGCCATGAATATTCATACCAAGGTGAGATGGAAATCGGCTCGCGTCATCCGCAGTTGCAGCGTAGGTAGTGCCAAAGAAGGTCGTATCGCAGGAGTGAATGAAGGAGACGACGGAATCGGGAAGTTCTTCGTTCGGAAGATGGCGCTGGTCGTAAACCATCCCTCTCGGTGAACCTTGGTATGGCACGAGCTCTCGGAGAGGAATATACTTTGGACAGTTCCTGGAGAAAAGCCTTTAGCTATGATACGATTATGCAACAAAAAATCATACCCAAAAGCCTCATTGACATGGGCCCCAAACTGGTATCTATCACCACACCCCTTTCTCTTCGTGATCTTCCCCGCAAATTTATTCCTGCGATGATGGTAAGAGCTATCTTCGATTCTGCATCCGTTGAGCGTCCTGCGAGCCGCATGGTGTAACCGCAAAGCGCCTTTCGGAAATCATGACTATGCAAAACGGATGCGCTTAACCACATGCAACGTTCTAGCCATACTTGGCTTAGATAGACTCCACACGCCACATAGTGTGTACTACCAATGCCGAGGGAAAACAACTTTGCCGCGTAAATCGTTCTGGCCAGCGGCAACGATAGTATAGTTGGCAGAATACGAGCCGAGCAAAGATTCTGTATGAGTCGAGTGTCAGTTGATTAAACACAGTGAAGAAACGCAACTATACCTATGTTGGTCGGTGGTTCGGTGGGAGGGGACGTGATACGCGCGCTACGAACCCAACCTCACCTGTTGGTGAAGAATAGTTGGCTGTAGACCTTGTATCCATTACTCTCTCCTCTTCGCCCTTCGTCCCTGCCCAGGACCTGAATATTCAATGTTGATTATGCCCGCCGAACGTTTTCTTTAAGGCCAGACGTTCACCGTGACCTCGGTCCCATACCAGGTAGATGAACTGGAAGATAACCATGACGATATGCTGAGATATAGTTGCATTTCTGCTCTGTGTTTAATCAACTGACACTGGACAAGATTGACTACCAAAGTTGATTTCGAGAATGACGAAGAACCGATCCCGTGTTGGTGAGTTTAGCCATCAAGGAGAAATGTGACTGTGCGTCAACCAGATATGAAGCTACGGTGATCTTCAACAGTTCATCTGCCTAGGCATCATTAGGAGCCATCAGAGTCTTCCCGACCGCGGCAGATGTAATGGGATGCACACTAGAAAGCTCTTTGGGGCAATGAAGGACAGGAGGACGTTCTAGGATCGTGACCAAGGAGAAGAGAAGCTCGTCGAGGACGTAACTAAACGTCGTTCCCTGCTTACATTCAGGATCCTCCCCAAAGATGACAACAGTCCGTTTCCTGCTGATACTTGGGATCTAAAGCCGTTTCAGTTGTCGTAGCTTCCTTAGGGTAGAGCCGGGGGAAAAGGCTGAGTGGCGGGCGCGACAGTGGGGTTGGACAAGACTGTTACAACCATGTCCAGTAGGATGAAGCGAGGAGAGAGAGCAGAGTCATAGACCTGTATGTACTCGACACTGGGAATGAGGAGACATAGGAATGAGGAGACATAGGATACGTCTTGGTCCCCGGAGCTTCGCGAACTTTTACTATAGCAAGATCCTTCAAAGATTCGAGGGAAGCGACGAGGTTGTACTTGAATGTGAGGTATTCTCCAAAGTGAGGGATCATGACCACGAAAGAGAAAGCTGGCTTTAGTACGAGGCGCAAAATATAGGATGCCGATGTGCTTCTACATTATTCCTTGGTTCTACGAACGAACCACAGAGACGAGGAGACCTCGTATAAAATACAGCAAAGAGTGCATTAAACACACCGTCCTGATATCCAATACCGAACAGACTACACAATCCGCAATAAAAATGACTAGTTAGAAATGTATGGGTGAGTTAAAAAAAAGTTCAATGCAAGGGTAAAGAAAAGAACGGAAACTATTCGCCACCCAACGGACTGGGCCGTCTAGGCTGGGCAGCTCCAGGCGGAGGCAAGGGCATAATAGCTCTAAACGGATCCTCCTCTATGCTTGGTTCGCGAGAATGCCCACTCGGCTCACGAGGGGGGGGCCACACCTCTTCGCGGAACAGGCTGCCCGAGTCACCCCGGACAACCGAAGTAGTGGAGTATATCGACGGTTCAGAACGCGGAAGAGAAGGATGCGAGGCTGATCGAGGTACCGAGACTGGCGTGGTCGGTTGGTCCCTGTACCTCGTCGTATCCTCAAACTCGTCGTCGAGCAGACCGACGGCCCCAGCACCCTTGCCCTCCCGCTTGATCCGCTTGATGGTCTCCATGAACCCGATGCGCCTCTTCTGGGCGCGTTTGTATATGAATACGACACCGAGGGCGAGGAAGGCGAGGACGACAGCAGAAGTGGTGACGCCGGCGATGAGGGCGGTGCGGTTTATGTTGCCGGGGCCAGAGCCGGAGCCAGAGGTGGCGAGAGCTGTAGGCATGTTGGTGGTATATGTGGTGAGCTGGCCTGAAATGGAGGTCACGATCGTCGTGAGAGATGTCGTGCTCGAGTCAGAGGAGGTTGTGGTCACTGATGGTAAAGTTGTGGTTGTATCTGTTTGGGAGGTGGTGGGCGCTGTCGAAGACGTTGTTGTTGTGGGTGAGAAGACAGACGTCGTCGAGGTGAGGGTAGAAGTCGTGGACGATGTGGATGGCGTCGTAGATGTCGTAGAGAACGTCGAGCTCGGCGTCGACGTCGTAACGGAGGAGGAGCTGCTGCTAGTGGTCGTTCTGTAAAAAGATCAGCGCCGAACTCGGCGGGAAGATGGGCAGCGACGTACATGGTTGACGTCGATGAGGTAGACGTCGTCGTCGTCGATGTCTCTGAAGTGGAGCTGGTTGATATCTCACTCGTGGACGTGGTCCCGATCACATTGCTTGTTGGAGCTATCGACTGCCCGCCACCCGATCCCGATCCCGCCGCACTCGTATCAGAAGTGACCGTTCCAGTGCCATCTGTAGTCGATACCTGGCCTGCGACCGCAGTAGTTCCGGAAGTGGGCTGCCCAGCACCGGATTGGCTGGCAGGTCCCTGCCGAGGGCGTAGTGGGCGCTTAAAAGTCATTAATGTGATGCTGAACGATCGATATGGTGCATGCACTAGGGCAGTGAAGAGTAAGACAAATTGAGAGAAAGGATTTAGTATCTCTGCGGCGCGAAGAGGCTCTGAACTATGGCTTACCCAAATTCTGTATAGCAGCCGCAGCCGCAGCTAAGAACACAGAGATTCAGAAATAAATCTGCAGCAACCAGGGCTGGTGGTCGCAGCAAGGAAACGACGCGTAGTTGATGGTGACGAAAAGAATGGAAGATTTGTTTACCTTTGTTTGCGTCGGGCACTGGTTTGTCACGGATCATCTTTGTTCCGATTCTTGAGCTCGTGGCGGACGCAGTGAGCTCGGCTACCACACGAAATAATGCTGCACGTCACTGTCTCTAACCCGGACTGCTGGTTTTACTGGGTATTTCCACCAGCTCACATCGTTTCATGATACAAAGAAAAAGTTTAGTACTATTCACACACGCGGTCTCAATCCTCCGTCATCTAAAGCGAATGTGAGTCCCCTGGCACTGCGCGTCTTCTCCACGACCTTCCCATCTACCACCCATTCCCTCAACCTCTCTTTCACAAACTGCCTCTGACCGCTCCATGCCAGCCCGAAGGTCCACCTTTCGTTCCCCACCCAATTGCACAGCCAATCATTCGCACCGACGTATATCAGCCACCTTGACGCCCCGCCCCACTCAAGAACCGCAGCAACGTGATCTTTGGTGATGGTGGGATGTAGGTTCATCCTGAGCGGCGCTGAAATCACGTATTATGTCGTTTTTGCATGATGAGAAATTCTCAGCAACTTCCATATCCACTCCGAGCAGAGAGCGAACCGAGGGAACAGAGACGTATTCCGAGATGTATCTAGAATGCTGTTCAAGGTAGGAGCGAATGAGACGCGATTCATACTCACTTTCTCATGGGATGGCAACCTGTTTCAAAATAGTCACCGTCTCATTCACGGCTCATATCGCACGGATTCATTCCTAGGATCTGTCAGGATATATTGCCAGTGGATACCCGAAATTCGTCTCGTTCTGGCGTATGGGGTACCAATGACGGCGCTGCAAAGGGAATATGCTGCACCACAATTAATAGGGTCAAGGACATTAATACACGCGTCCTGCATCCATCTTTCACACCTGCATTTCTGCGAATGAAAATCAGTGATTGTAGACCAAGAGAAGACAAGATGAACCGTGGATTTAATTGTGACGCAGGTCGAGATGTTCACGATGGGAGGGACAGATGTCCACGTGCACTCCATATCGAAGTACGATAATACCATTGTAATACTGTCTGTCAACCCATTTGCTATGCAAAATAAGACTCTGATAAGGAATAGAAAAAAAACAATCCTACCAATCATAAGTGACTTGGGATTAATCAGTGGACGATCCCTGCTCAGGAGTAGAGCATTATTATTATAAATCGCCAAAGCAAAAAGTGGAAGGAAACGTCCCTAAAATGTTCATCATTACAAAAAATTGCGAGTTAAACAATATGAAAGCTTACACCATACGACTCGCCCGCCATATGTAAAGCCCGTCCCTCGAACTGCCTCTAACCCTCAAAGAAAATGGAAATGAACGCAACGATGTCCCACCCCGCTTCTTCGGTAGTACTCTGAGTATGAGAGGGAGGGGAAGGAGGGGGAAGGATTCAACACACAGCACACAACAGACCGTTGACTCCCTTACCACCGTTTCTCCATACAAGAACCCCACACCGACGGGCTGGTCGACAATGAACACTTTCGCGTTCGTATTCCTGGACGGTACTTTGGTCCGTACGCATCGAGCACGCGACAAGGGCCTCAGACACATGGCTCGGGCTCACCCAACTCCAAGTCGAGGAAGAGCACCTCGGCCCACCATTAGTCCAGAAAACTACATCGTCCCTATGCGGATCGGTCCTGCTCTAGAAAAAGTAGAAAAATAGATGCTAGGCTTGGGAGATGTCGATGTATCTAGTATAGGCTAGCGTGCAACGGAGATAGAGGAGAGACGAGACGGACTGTACGGTTTCGTGGCAGAACGCCTCGGAAGCCTTCTTGATCCTGATGGAGTGGCTGGGGTATAAAGCGTGTCGGAGAGTTCTGAAACAGGCAGCAGATAGGCTAGCAAGAGAGTTTACGCCGCCGTCCCTGGAGCAGTTATCCCGGCGACCCAGTTCGGTGGAGAGCACCATCGATACAAAGAAGCGTTTTGGCTATGCATCTTCGTAGCAGGGATAACAGGATCACGGTGGATGCTATCCATATCATGGCGCCGTCAGTGGCCCACAGCTGGTACGATTGGGACCATGTATATCAGTAGCAAGTGTGATGGCAGGGTTAAAGAAACCGGCCCGGCCGACGCCGATACAGCCACCGTTCGCTCTATTTGCGCTTTTACTATTCCTTCCCACGTTAAAGTTATCCGAGGAGTGTCCCGTTTCTCTCTTCTCATCGCCTTGATTAAGTGTGTGCGGCTCCTCCATCATTAGTGCCAGTCTTCCTGAAATGTTACAAGACAAGCTCCTTAGAGACTGTCAACGTTCCTAGTCGTGCGTTATTGCATTCAGATATGGCTCAACTATCACGTTCGCCTTGGACTTCGTCGTTCAATTCCCCATACCCGAATAGTTAATCGTTAGCAAGTTGCGGTCTATTTCTCACGGGCCCCCTCTGAAGGTTCCCTTTTCACTCTACCCACACTCCTGGCTGGGAGAAAGAATCGGCATGCGTCGTGCTACTCCATTCATACTCGTTCCTCCGGTCTTCGTCGGCAACTTTCCTATCTATCTCGAGGGTTACTGGTACAACTGCTAGTGTTGTTCGCCACTGGGTTCGATTCCCTGTACCCAAATTATCCGATAGCACTGTGTCGTTCCTGTCTTTTTTCATTTCACCTGCGCGAGGTGTGCCTCAGGGTTTCCTGTTTTTCTTCCCCTGCTATTATTTCGAGTTTCACTAAGATTAGCCAGTTAATTGAGTGTCTTTTTTGCTGAGATTATGAGTACGTCATATATTTTCTCTTGTGACTGTCACTGTAATGGCTAGCAGGCTCCAAATAGAAGATCAATTCCCTGATTCTAATAAATGTTCTTATTACGAGCACTCCTCATTCATGGACAGATATTGTATTCGCCGGACATGATTATTATAGGGTATCATTAAAGTTCGACTATTATATAATACATATTCATATTCCTCCTTCTTGTTCGAATATGGCGCAACGGCGAACCTAAATAACCCTATCTTGGTTCAATTCAAAGGATACGAATACATATTTCAGAAAAAGAACCTTTTTTTCGGTATTTCTGGCCGATTATTCATAAAGGCTGGCCCCCCGTCACCCCAATTCGTTCAGTCTAAAGGCAACTGGATATAGCCTAACCGTCAGTGGGGCTTTGAGGTTCGATCCCTCACATCTGGATGGTTCAATGCTGATGTTCTCCTTTTCTTTTTACAGCGGCTCATGTTCATCGCGAGACTAGACGGTCACTAAGGATAGCATACAATCATGGACTTATATCTACCAGAAGATGGATATCACCGGTCTAGTGTTATAGAATCTTGTGGTTTCGGCTCTTAGCCTTGTCCGTGAGTAAATATGTAAGCCTCTTCTGCCATTAGTATCAGTCTTGCTGAGAACCCAGCTCCCCCAAAGAACGTTAATGCCAAAGTTTATTGTTAGCCCTCATCATTTCATTCGAATATGGCATAACCATCGCGTTCATCATAGGTGTCACGGTTCTATTCCTCAAGTGTTCATAATGGTCTGAAATTGTCTTTGATGCATTTTTTCACGGAACTCCACTTGTCGCTCCACCCACACACCGTCGTCTGGGAGAAAGAATCGGCGCAGCGCCGTGTCATTCCATTCAGCTCCGTCCTCATTATTGGCTAGCGTTGTTCACCTCTCTGTTCGATTCTCTGTCAATAAGATGGGGGGGACTGATGCTTTTCACAGGCCCAAGGGTGTGTTTCTCCACTCGTGTTGTTCTTTCTCTCCAGTTTTTAATTATGAGCTTCGTGCTCGAACTTGAGGCCAGGAAGGGCTGAAGGCCAAAGCTCGCCAATATCATAATCCCGAAGAACAATTACCGATTATTCTGAGATCAGGCACAGAATCACCCTCTCTTTTATGTCGGATATAGTATAATCGCCAGTGGTCATTTGGCGGGTGGGTTCAATTCCCTATATTCGAAGCCATCAGCATTAGTGCTTTTTAAAACCCCGCGTGACACTTGCCTCTCGAAGGGACCTATCTCTAGCCTACAGACAAAGAGTATTATGATGGAACCCCTGGGGTTCAATTCTGCCCATTTATGTAATTCTTTCTCTTTGCGTTCGCCGTTCCTCAGAGATGGACGGCTTTCTTCGAACCCATCTTTCCAAATCGGTTGTCACGAATCTACTTCATAAGATGCAGATTGAAGAGTCCTCTCCCCTTCTCCCTTTCTTTTTCCACTAACTCGTTCACATGACTAATACTAACTTCAAAAGAAATATAACCACTACCTCCCTCCCCTCACGGGAACCGATGTGGTTCAACGGCGAGTGCTACCACCACCACGCGCCTGAGGTTCAATCCCCTAGGTACGAATCTTGGTATTATTGGCTACATACTTTTCTTTTGCAGGAGCCACTCCTATGTACGACTCTACGTCTGCCGCATTTCATTTTCCTTCGGTGCCTAATACCAAACAGAGCACCATACACAATCAAATGTATTTCGTCTCCCCAACATCGCTGACAAGAATCCTAGTCTTCTTGCACTCTTCAACCAACTTCCTGGGCGGCTCCATAACCTCCTCGGATGTCAACATCTACTTCCTACAAAGAATCAGAATCTTAAAGAGAAAGACGACATAAAACACCCCTCACCCCCAATTCATAGCTACCGCCTTCTTCACCTTCAAATCCTTGAAATACGCACGCTATCCTGCGGCGCACAATGTACAGTCGACATGAACCACCTCATCTGGTACGCCCTACCAGAAAAATAAATCCATCAACAAACATCCATTTACAAACTCGCTCCATCTACCCGATAGGAATCATTGCCAGATCGAACCCCCCCCCCCCCAAACCTCTGCCGAATCTCCTTGGAGATAAGACACACTGGCCGCTCCTTCACGTTCTCCCCATCCTTAATGGTGTTCACAGCGCTATGCTATGGTTCATAAACTGTAGGATCTTGAAAAGGAATGCTCACTGCACACAGCGACCGATTTCCGTGTGGAAAAATGTGCCCTGAAGACTTGATTGCTGTTCGTTAAACGGGCGAACCGGTAGAATAGGCAGATCGCATACTGTCTGAAAGAACCGAAGTGAAGATGAAAAAAATACATTTGTGGTAAAGTTAGCCATCAGCATCTATCGGATTATCGCATGATGATAGAAACTTATCCTTGCCTGCCTAGGTTATCATGGTGCAGTTACCAGTAAGGCACCCATGCTTGACACGATTTTAAGGGTAGACGTCTTCTGACATTGCCCCGATGTTCAACTGACAGCTTCACAAGACATTGGTTTCAAACATTCACGCGTATCACCTTGGTTTTTTGTGCGGTATGAGCACCGAAGGCTCAATTATCACAGGCACATGTAGTCACCATCTCCATCATACGTTTACCGCGGTTCTGATCCATGGCGAAGTCGATGAAAATGTTCGTAGCTAAGGCTGCAGAACCAAGACGGTTTAGGGAAAATGAAGGAGGCAAAGATTCCGGTTCATGAACACCAGCGTTTCCCCGATGCTGGAATGAAATACATCAGACTCGTGCCCTGTCTATCACCTTCAAAACGTCGATATCTTGACTGCATACGAAACTCCACAGATCAGCCGGTACGTCATCTGAGAATATGATAATATTGTGGGAGAATAAATATCTGGCCACGTGCTACTGGATCGTGAATATCGAACACGCGTTTATTTTTTAAGGAACTTGATGACTTGTAAGTTGTGGTTCTGTGCCTTGGAGCCACTTCCGCTTTTCTCATTACCTTGCGATCGTTTCCATGGCAGATGCAAGGATAAACTCCGATAAGCGCCCAGTTCCAGTTTCCTCCAATTGCTCGTCAATAGAATGGGTCGTCCTTGTATAAACGCACTGGGCTGGGATGCGACGCCTTGTAGAAGTGATGGAGGATCTGATCAACTTTAGTAACGCATACCGTCCATGGGATCATGAAAACGTACTGTAAATGTATATTCGGCATGTGATTCATCCCGTCATTCAGGTCTGAGTTGCACCAAACTGTGAGATGGACCAGTACTGCAAAGAGACCAGTTGTTTCGGGAATACAGGACCGGAACTGCTACGCCCCGGTGGCGCTGGTGACAGTCACGCTTCCTCATTTATGACGACCATGTAGATAGTAGACTCTCGTACCGGAGGTTAGAGAGCCTTATTATGATGCAAAGGAGATTTATAACTCCTTATATGAAGGATTGCAGTTCCTATCGAGCTCGAATACAAAATATCGAGTCATCGACTGGGATATAGACACTTGTTCTCTTGTTAAGGCAGTAGCGACTCCTTCGGAGAAGAATTGCAAGCAGCGGTGGCAGCCCGGAGTGTCAGAACATAAGGTGTGGCGATCGAGCAGATACGTTTTTCTGTCTTTTTTCAGGATGTCATGCTAACCCATCACGAGCTCAGATTTCATGGAACGCCAATTTTTATCCCACAGAAATCTGCGGGATCGCGCCACAAGTCAGAAAATGTTTTCTCCAGCGAGACCATCCGCAGTTATTGTTGCGTCGTCTTCCTTCAAACTGAACGTATACGCCTCGTCCATGATTACAAACAGTAGGGTAGATTCACGATCTTCAACAAGAACGAGTTCAATGCCCATTGTCATGGAGCTCCTAGTGATTAAGACTGCCCATATGGAGAAAGCGTTCTCGACCTCGGTAATGAAATCTGGTTCAAGAGAAATCTTAACCACGGTCATTCGGACATGTTGGATGATTCCAAGAGACAGTAGGTATTCTTGTGTCTCCGACATTGTGGCTCTGATGTGTTTTCAGCCGCATGCCATATTGAAGGCCTTCCTTTTTATAATCTTCGATGCCCACGGCCTGGAAGTCAACGTCAACAATGTATTCTGTCTCTCGTCAATCGTTTCTTCTCTTCTCTCCATTCGTCGCCCCTTTGTTGACTCCTGCTGTAGATTACAATATGCTCACAGCACGAGATACTGCTAGTAGGCGACATTCAGACAACAGAATGTGAGCTTTTCGTCCTTTATTTTGAGTTCGTTCTCATAGTCATTTCATTCAGACGCCCTGTGCGAAGCCAAGATTTTCTGTGATAAAACTCCCTTTTGCATATATCTAGCTTCCCTTCGCATCGTTGCTAAGCCTGACTGTATATGATGCAATTCGAACCAGCGCCGTATGGTCAACCTCGGATCTGATGTATTCGACATCAGCGGTAAGTTCTCAGCTCGCACGTCTAATCCAATAGACTTGCTCGCGACTCAACACTTCTCACGAAGATGTCAGTGGCGACAGCACATGTTGATTGAATCGGTTGTTTGGATATTACAATGTCTTTCCTCCCATCATCGACGTTCTCATCTTGTCATGCCGGCGATGGAAGACGCTCTTTCTGTCTGAGAACTGCATGTCTGAAATCGCCCAGATCGAAGGTTCTCTTCGCATTCTCAATGCGTTATACATGATTACAGTTTCATCTTCGCCAACGACTATAGGCTCCTTCGCATTCCGTGACACACTATCCCTCTGCACGATTGGGGACGATATCAGCATATTACAGCGCTGTAACCTTCCATGGACGCAAATAAAGAGGTATCATATACCCATACATACAGTCGGTTAGAGAGCGGAAAAATTTCCCTTTACTAGAACGTTTCTATTTGTCTATCGAGCATTGTGAAATGCATGCTTCCATGAACGACACCATTCCCCCAGGTACAGATGCCAGCACTGTGTTCCCGCCCGCTCTAGACCACCCTAAAGCCTGGGTTTGGAGGTCTCGGGAGCAGGCAACAAGTCGATGTGAAAAGTAATTATAATTGATATGTCTGTCTCATGATATAGTAAGGTTTCTAAGATTGTAACAATGCAATGCAAACGAAATGTCCCCGAGCCTCTAATGTCCTGCCCCCTTCTCCCCTTCCTCGATCAACCCAGTTGTCTCCGGCACATTCTTCCTTCGCATAAACCACTGGAATGTCGGAAGCGTGATTAGCGAAACTACTGTCCACGCGATAAGGACACCAAAGTGTAGTCCCACTAGCCTCGAAATGTCAGCGAAAACGGAAAGTATATCTGGGACCCTGAAACTTACGTTCGTTCTTCGTCCCAAATAAGATGGTCCGTACAGCACCAGAGACATTGTAGAAAGGCATTGCGTATCCATATCGATAGATATTTGGGAGCACATCGAGTGGCATGAAGGATACAGATACATTAGCTTCAAAGCAGTCGTCAAAGAAAGGTGGAAGAAAGAGGATGTATGTATACTCACAAATAATCCACAGAATCATGAAGAACGGCACGAATCGAACCGTAAGGAGCGTTATCATCGCTTCGAGAGCGAGTCCCACCGAGAGCATACCGACGAAATTGACCATCCAGAAAATGACAAAGCCTGCATCACCGAATCTGAAACATTACCGGTTAGGAGGGCGAGGAGTATGAAGGAGAAGGATGCGTACTTGCGCGAGAAGTTGACTTGGAAGGCTCGGCTCAGAAGAGAGTAGAATAAAGAGATCATAAAGTACGCAATGAACACCGAGATAAGTCGAACCCGAATGAGGGAAACAGTGGTTAATTTTCTTTCGAGGCCAGATATTTCTCGCGCAGAGGCTCCAATCATCTACATCGTGGAAGATTTAATTCCTGCATTACGGATTGATTAAAAGACGAAAGTTACGCACCACGATGAAGAATGATAGAATCAATAGGTAGATTAGACCCACGAATGTGATGGCGCTAGCACTAGAAGAAAAAAATCAGCACATTTGACATCATACGGAAAGGATTAGGGACGCCTACACTGGGATATCGAATGGAACGAGGTTGTCCGTTGTATAGCTTATGGGCTCTGTTAAAATCTGTGGCGCCGAACTGGCTATAGAAGATAGTGACGAAGACGAGGCTATTTGTGACACGAATTGTTGAGCATATTCCTGGCATATAGCTATGAGAAGGGCTTGGACAGACGGCCGTATCAGTGAACGGCTGGTGGAGTCACGTCAAAGCCAGCAGAGTTAAAAGGAAGTTAAAAACTTACTACGCATTCTCGTTCCTCGCCTCTACACCATAGAATGTTATCGCCTCCGTGCCGTCATAAGAAGAGTTCACAGATGACACAGCTGCGTTTAACGCGCCGGTCGCGTTTGACTGGACTATGAAATTCTTATCAGTATTCGGTGAAGGGAAAGAGTGGGCAAGTGGTGCACCAACAACAGCTACCCAAGCCTTCTGCTCTACCACCCTATTCGCCACCTCCTCCCATCCACCAGGAAACTCACTCGCAGAGACCTGCGTGAATGTCACTTTACTCGACGACGAACTCGCTGTGAGGCCCTGCACTACCGCGGTCCCCACTGCGGACCCATCAAAATCAACGACCCATCCTCGCAAATTATGATCCGGTATCTTCCACAGAGCGCCCCAATATATCGAGAATACGGAGAACATGACAATGACCATCGCAAAGCAGCCGCCGAAAAGTATTTTGAAGTACATGGATCGGGAAGCTTGTAGTGAGGGCGTCTTGTCGAGAAATCGGGATGAAAAAGGGCGGTCGATGACGGGGACGTCGCGGTCCACTGTGGTGGTTTCGATGGACATGCGGTCGGACATGGTGTAGTAGATGAAGGGAAAAGAAAAATAATCAGGGCAAGGAAATCACAATCTAGATCATGGGCGTATATATAGTGACGACTTCGGATAGCTCACGTCAAATTTATCCGGACCATAAATATTGACGGGTGATCAAGTTATGCAGTGGATTGTTTGACTTTTGCGCACAGGACGCCGAGAATAGTCAGCACGCTAATTTCCTTTGGAAGACGCCATCCTGCAACACCAGAGAAGGTCGACGAATGAGCACGACTCGTGTCCTAACCCGATTAGCCGGGGGAAAAGTTGAAGATATGTCACGGATAAACGGTACAACCATCATCTGCGTTGATGTCGAGTCATTTAACCTTGTATCTGCAAGAATCCTGGTTCCATCTATAGCAAAGGTGGTATTGCAACGAACTTCTCCAGCTAATGACTCTGTTCGGATATCATGAATCCAGAGGAGATACTGCTGAGGCCATCTTTCCGTTCCTCCAATGTCAGGACGCTCCCTGACTTTTCGCATTTGTGGTTACAGGAGACATACCTGGAAAGAAAAGTCCATGCAAATACCAACCATGTAGCCGCTCGGCGCACAGCGATCTTATCGGCTAGTGACAGGAGCCGCGCATGTGGCTCGACTTGATGCGGCGCGTTTGATCCTCCCACCCGCGGCGCAGTACCTATTACCCGACTCACTTGTAACGCTGTTTTTCTCCCCGGGTTCCGACTCGCTGAACAATGATCGACCACCGGAAGAAACTCTTCAGTGGACCCTTTTCATCATAGACTGTCCGGATTTCTGGTCCGATGTCCGGACTAAAACGAAATGATTTTGATTTTCTCTGCATGGTCGGAGTCAAAGTCCAGTAGTCAGACGTTCCCGATGCCGCACCATCGCTTTTCTGGTTATTTGCAATTTCTGCCATCCTTTCAGACCGCATCTTAAGCAATGTCGACAGGCTGCCCACGATAAACGCGACAAGTGTAAACACAGTACAGCCAAGGCGATAATGGACCTCTGGTCCAGAAGGAGTGCAAGAATGTTGATTTGAAGCGTACTGTCCGGGCATTGAAGGTGGATATATAGCGGGAGATATTGCCCGCTATGTCACGTTCGGTGCGTCAGCCTCTGCTGGTAAGCATGATTACTGCGAGGCTGTGATAATTCTTCATCAGGCTACGTTGGGTTCCCCGGCATTTGGGAATGAGACAAAAGACCTGAATAGGCGCGCTTTCATCGCTTTGATGAATAGACACGGATATTTAATGGCAATCGAGTTGAAAGGGGATCTTTAGTATTGAACATGACTGTAAGCCTTCTAGCGACCTTTGAAATAGCGCAAAGGTGATGATCTCTCATTCAGTTATGACCATCATTGATGACACTTGTAGAGGCCATGGTGGGCTGGCTACTGAAGAGCCTCTGATGAAGAGATTTAGAATCAGGCCAAAATTGGTGACTATGATATTGCTGGTGTGCGTGATTTTTGCGTGATTTTTAGCGCTGCTATAAATTTCTTTCCTTGAGTTATGGTATAACGGCCAGTCCTTGCCTTTTGCATCGCACTGACTCTATATGGGTCACAGTTATCGTCGTCAAGCGTCCCGAACGACTCTTACTGGAGCGAAGGGCCCATTCTTAAGCCACCGCGTTTTAATCGAAGAACCGAGGCCACGCATCCTCAATCCCATTTTATAGATTTTTCTGCTATAACAGTCTTCATTGACCAGCTAAAAGGCCCGAACGCTGAACCCGGAGTTGAAGATTTTAAATCATTGCATGACCATGATTCGATCTCGAGACGTAGAGACACAAAAATAACCTACGGGACTCCATAAAGCAGTCAACGGGTTGAGCCAAGTGACCACAACCACCAGACTTCAACGACGGAATGTTTGAATAACACCAGATATGGACAAGGCTGTAGCTCACGACGAAAGGAAAGAGCCATCTGATTTCGCTTTAATCAGCCACAGATGCATCAAATTTGTGCTATCACTTCGGAGCTTGGCGTTAGGGAGCATCGGAATCATTCTTATTCAACCTAGAACCCCAAAAACATTTCGTCAGGAAGTGATCAGTCCAAGAAATATGGGGGATTGTATAAGAGCAGACGAGATGAACGCTTGCTAATGCAGACAGTCAGGTATCAGTAGCTACCACAGACCAGGATCGCGGTTGCAGTAGACGTTATGATTTCTCTGGGGCCTCCCTACATACGCCTTGCTGATATTTATCCTCTGAAATGGTGGCCATACTTGTAATTCCCTCTGCGGTACTCAATATGCGACGCAGTATCTTTCTATAGTCGCCATTGGTGAGGTAATAGTAGATTCGAGATAATGTTGCACTCCGAGAAGCTACAGCCGCATATGTGAGAAGGTTAGGCAGAAACATGCCTGGCGCTGTGTTTTGTCTTTGCTCATGAGGATATCAAGCTTAGGCTCCATGTCCGGATCTGGAAAGCACTCCACACATGGGATTGTAAGTTAATTTATTTTCCTTCGAGCATGAGAGAGACGCAGAATAGAGCGAGAGTAGACCACAATTTCAACCGTCCTTCATCAGGCTGAATGGGCTATCGCGATGTGAAGGATGGCAACGTGTTCTGCTGTTTCGGGGATACAGCATCGAAAGAGGAAATTAAGAAGATGCTTGCGGGCACTCAAGGACGCGTCGTTGGAACGTAAGAGAGGGATACTGGGCTTAGATATCCAATTATATTTGGCAAATAATCGGTAGAGAAAAACGTGGCGCTGCTGCTGCTGCATGCATGACTGCAATCGATGGCCTTTTTTTTAGGTAATCAATGAGATTGAACGAAGGTCACAGGTCGTTGGGCATTTCCGTAGCAGTTCGAGGCAGGTTCTTACCTTCGAGTCCAAATGGGGCCTGTCGATATTGCAGTGCTTGAAGGATGATTCGATGTAAGTGAAATAGTACATGGTCAAAGATGGCTCCCAGTTTATTGTTATAGGCTGAACACGCCAGTGTGCATGAGGGTGGTATAGGTGAAAGTTCAAACTCCGTCACTGACGCGTCGCGAAACGCGTCTCTTATGGAAAGTCCATCTATGTGGATATTCTCCTTGATACGCTCATCAGCTATTCCATACAGATTCCTTTATATTATGGTTCCCACGACGCAGCCTAACAGAAAGAGGTGAAGCAGACTCCTGGTACAAGGATAGTACATGTAATGCCAAGAAACGAAAGAAGAGGCACCGATGGATACCAAAGCAAGCGACCATCTACTTCTGCCCGTGCCAAGGAATTATGTTGTTATCGAGTTCTAAATGCGCCCATGAAACAGCTCGCTGTTAAAGACATACGACCAAAGAAGTCAGGGTCTTACTCTACTATCCTGATAATCTTCGAGCCCAGCACTTGTAGATGGCACCATCGCGAGCTTCGGCCTCCATGTGTCGAGTAAAGGTACCGGCCCTTCAAAGAAGCATGAGCGGGACCAAAATTGCAAAAATACAAAGGATGTGTAGGTCAGTCACGTCTCATGGCATCAGCAAAACAGATGGCATCATCTGTAATACATGCGATTAATTAATATAGATGAGAGATAGAGAAATGATCATGTACGAGCTCCAAAGCAAGCGACTGTCCCGATTTATCGGCCTTGGTTCTGGGTGAGCAAATGGGCTTACTAGATATCCAAACATATTTGGCTTAGAGTTTATTCAGAAAAATGATGAATGTGATGAGGAGCAAGTTCTTAGTAATAAATGAAGTTGAACGAGGGCCACATGTTTGTAGGTCTGGAAGCAAAATTTAACTCTCTGTCTAAAAGAGTTCGTGTAAATACTCGACTAAGAGGGATGATTCAGTGTACACGGAATCGGACTTGTAGCAATCAATTTACTGTTAGAAGCGGAGCATGGCAGTACAGGCGACAACAGAGTAAGTTCAAACTCCGCCGACGCGTCGACGCGCGTCTTATGCAAGTCGTTACACGTGGATATTTTCATTCAAGCGCTCGGCATCTGGCAGTTCTTCCCTAAAGATTTCCTTATATTCTGGGTGCGACAATGCAACCTGATAATAATAGTTAACGTGAACGATACATTTCCAGGACCGCTTTGTAATCCACCGATGAAACAGCCCGCAAAAGGAACTGTATCCCCCACCCAAGCCTACGATGTATAGCTTCATGATACCTTCGCTTTCTGTGAATGATTCTGAAGACGGACTAGATTACCATATATTCACAGTCCTGGTCACCCTTAGTTATTATATGCATCATTTTCGACCCTTTATTCTGTCTTTGACTGTGAGTCGTTCCAGAGTGACATTTCTTCGAATGTTTTCATGCGTAGTGTCTGCAAGTTTCTGGAAAAGATGGACATCATCTATCACACACTGGTCAAAAATAAGGACAGTATTATGCTAATACATATAAACGTGACCATTATGTGTTCACAGTAATATACAGAAGGTATGTAGATAGATGGGTAGGACTTATTGCATATATCATTCATCCTCAGGATTGCAGATACGTGTGCTGGCTTCCAGAACACGGTCCTCGTAATCGTCTAAATCCAAATGAAGATCAAGACCATTGTCCCTCAAACGCTCCAGCGCTTGGATCCCACCTTGGTGCTGGAAAGGTACATAAAAAGCTCTTCCAATGACCACAACAACGAGACTTTTAAGAATTTGTCCGCCTTGCTGAACAACAAGTCGTGAAGAAATCATGTCCACAAAGTCAGTATTGAGAAAGTCCACTGACTCAAACTCGATGTCATCCACATAGAACTCCAGCTCCTTCAAACATGGAAGCAGCACAGGATATGTTTCAGCCCCCACACGTGTAATCTCCGACATTTTGAGAACAAAAGTCTCCATGATGTTGTCCGGCGTACTGGACCATGCGTTGTATTCAAAGACAAGTGTGACAAGCTGGGGAGATAGCTGGAGAATGGGAATCAAGTTGTCATCCATTGTGGCATCGACAAAACGAAGGACAGTCAGGGAACATTGAGAGCGAATGATCAAGGCATGTAGGTGGGAGAGCGCATCTTCGGGACATATAATTGGCTCCGAGCTCACGGTATGGTAATTGGGACATCCCGATGTGAGAGTCATCTCTTTCAAAGCCGGTAATACAATGCTGGAAAGAAAACTTCCGAGAGATGCCGAGAGTGTACGAAGCGAGGAGTTTATAATGTGACGAGAATATGGACCAGATGATTCTGGGATGGGACTGTGATGATGATACGAAAAATAGAGGATATTAGGAGCTGATGCGACGATATCCAAATAATTTATCGTCGTGACATTATCTGGCAGCTTCCTTCCGTCAAGAAAGGAGACCAGATTATGAGCAGGAAAGGAGACTTCAGCCCCTGCGTGCATGTTGGTTAAGTGGAGGGTTTTTAGCTTTGGCGCGAATTCGAACGCGTCAATATTTCCAGGCGCAGCATCCATTCTACATGTTAAGTATACCTCCTCAATCTGGTCAACTCTACCGATCCCCAGCGCATTGAGTGAGTCAACAGGAGATAGAAACACTGGTTCATCAGTTCATCTTCCTAGTCGAATTCTTCTCTCAAGCTCTCGTCAAACCGCCAATGTCTGAAGAAGAAGTCAATGCGACGTTCTAGGCTTCGCTCCAGGGCACACTCAAGAAGAGCCACCATGTTCTTCTTCGGGAATGGGACTGACACAGTATGTCCAGCATCTTTTTTAATTTGTTTACCTAGCATGTCGATCTTGAGAGTTGCCCAGTTCTCAGGGCATAGCGACTCGACCGCATCTCTCCAGGAGCTGCAAACCTGACCGAGATACCATGGTCTGTCCATGATCCTGAACACGTCAAATCCACGGACGTGGAAAGGTTCCCTGGATCTGGGCTTTGTAAATTCTTTTGGTGTCCAGCGCAAAATCCCGACAAGGATCTCGCTAGGGAAACCACGAATGAGGGATAACGCAGACCGGTAATCGCGTCTAATTGTTTTGAGCCGCGACATATGCGTCTCTAGAGACGCAACCGCATTTCGGAGTAGATCGATCTCGGTCTGTATCTCAGTGATTGGTGAGTCGATGCTATTAATCGCTGCCTCTAACTGGGCTGCTTGGAAAGGTTTTTGGTACAGCGTTGGTCTGCATGAACGTTATGAACTCGGGAGAATGATCAAACGTCGATATCCAATCATATTTGGATATCAGATCGTGAAGAAAAGCGCGGGTAGAGGGCGTATTGGATGACATGCTGATGGTAAGACGGCAAAAGTGATCAGTCAATGAGTTGATGTCAGATGATAGAGGTCTTACATACAGAGCTGTTGGAGGAAGGTGGTAATTCATGGCACTGTTGGCACGCTTATTATACTGGCCCGTCTCAGGGTCAAAGAAAGAAACAATTACAGGTGACAATAATGTTACAACCAGGTTCCTGGTCATAGCTGTCATATTTAGGATATGGATCGGCTTATTGTGTCGGATCGTATGGAGGATCCTTATCACTGAGTTGCAGAGCGAGACAATGTTTTGCTTCACTTTATTCGTCGGACCATCTTGCAGGGTTCTGGAGAGATAATGGGGCAACGCTAGTGATGGTCGCAGGACCAACACTATGAATAATGGAAGAATATGGTAATCATGATTAATGCACACATGATCACTGAAGGACCGGACCTCATCCAACGCTCCCACCGGCAATGAATTTGTGAAGATAGCTAACATTCTTGGTGGATCCAATGACCGTGGGAGCAGAGGGGCAACAGCGGGATTCAAAATAGATATGCAGTATACATATGACCAATTTAACAGATCTCTAGCGCATCGAGTCACGAGTCAACAAAAGACACAAACCCTATCAGATCATTTCTTCAACCGATTTCTCCGGAATGCCTTCCCCAGTCTTGTCAGATAATCCCAGATATCTGAACAAAAAATCAAGGCAACATTCACAGCTTCACCAGAGGGTGCATTCAAGAAGGCACACCAAATTCCATTTCAGGGAAGGGAAGTCCTTTCTTGTGCCCAAGGCACATTCATTGTCACTCACCACAATAACTTGTGACAGAGCATCTGAACTGTGCCTCTCCAGGAGCTGTACACCTGGCTGAGAACATGGCCTCTCTGCAATCTCAAAAATGTCAAACCCAGATACATAATAAGGCCCTCACAACCTGGGATTACCATGACATTCCACAAGTATTCAACCAGACAAATGGTGGGTGGGAGATAAGGTTGATTCTTAGTTGCATCTAATTGTTGTGAGTTGTGACATTTGCAATTTCAAAGATATGGCCAGCATTGTGGAGTGGGTCCATGTCACTCTAAATTTCGCTGATATGATGATCTAGGCTCTTGATTGAGGCATCCAACTAAACATCTTGAGAGTGATGGGCACTGTTGGTCTGCATGAGTGCAGTGAACTCCAAAGAGTTGAGGAAAGCAGATGCTCTTGGTGGCCATATGAGAAAAAAGATCTTGACAAAAGGAGGAACAATGACAGAATTGGACCATGGAAAGATTGTTGAAATATTGCTCATGCATCTTGGCCACAAATGAATGATTTCAGCTACTGTTCCATAGACTAAGATAGTGCAGGGTCCTTTGAAGGGTGCTCAAGAGAAATGAATGATGGACATATGCTTGTTGGCATAGCATGGCTCTTGTTAATCTACAATGTCATCAGGCAGAGAACTACTTTACTGTGTTCTTGTTATGATTTTTCAGTTATCTTATCTTATGAAGTGCCTATTTAATCTTGAGTGCCTAATCATTATCTACCTGGCTGGACTGGTAACCATGCCTCTATTGAATGACTTGCACTATTGTACTGCAACTCACAATGGACATCTTGACAAAGTGTAGACTTCATTGTTTCATGCACCTGTAGCACATTCTTTAGTTCCAACTTGCAGGTAGCCATAAAAGGACTGACTATATTCATCCCAGGACAAAACATATATAAGTAGCATAGCTCTTGCTGTAGTAGACTCAGCTTTGAGCTACATTTTATTCTATTCCGTTCACTCTCAAGCCTACTTGCAACACCTTGGTCTTCTTACCAAGTCAAACAATAGAAGTGGACTCTGGTGCAATTGTACAAACATGATACAATGCCAGTTTATCATGGGTTTACACTCATGTGATGCTTGAGTCTAACAATTAGCTTGAAGCATGACTTGCCTTTCTCTCAGCAACTGCTGAGAGTATCATATGAAATCCACCCTTTACTTCACTATTGCAGTTTTTATCTCTGCCTTCATGGCAACCCTGCTATTTGTTTACATCTTCTACATTTACAGGTGAGATATCTATGACTGGTACTATTGGCTACTGGCTCATTGGAATGCCTACTGACAAAACATCAGACTCTCTCAGACCCACTCTCATCTCTGCTGCTACAGAACCATTAGACAATATGAGTTTGGAGCATCCAGATTCACAGTCCATTTTCTCTGCTGGATTAAAGTGACCCACCTTCCAGCTGAGCAGGAAGTCCTGCTTCCTGAAAGCAATTCAGAAATTGGTGCCATGGACATTAGCAATGAAGGAGGAGTCATCCTCTGAAGAGAGTATGGTGAAGAAGTGCCATTGGTAAAGATCTCCATCACAAGCCCTGACAATAAACAATGAAGCTTGGAAGAGGAATGCCATTCTAAAAGTGTTAGATCCAAGCATCATGTGAACAGATACACATGATAAACAGATGTCTCTTTGCACTTTGAGAGATCAGCTGAGTTCACTGATGTGTAGTCTGATTGATGTGTCACAAGGCAAAGTGAGTCAGCTTGAGAGAGGATGGTGTGAAAATAAACTTTAGCTTGAAGCTGGGGTTACCAGTGAGAGTGAGCATCTTAAATACTGTACATCATCTGCTAATAATAATATCTACCTATTGTATCTCTCTGAGTCCATTGTGTTCATTGTCCTTGGGCATCACTATCATACACAAAAGGTTGGTTGTGCATTGTCAGGCAATGCTGTTGCATCAAAAGACAATGACTGATCTGGCCTAGTTGTGATGACTAAGCCTCATCCCACAGTCTTAAGCACTCATTCTGGTGCCCTGACTAAGCATAAATAGGGGTTAAATCGAGGAAAAAGTAGGAAAATCATAACAAAAAGCCTCCTAGCCCCACATATATCCAGCAGCCCTTCTGGCTGGAAAAGTAGTCCTATTGTCATCTCTGGTGAGGATAGTGACCCCTCATCACCATGACCACATTCCTGTTCCCATGGAACTCTCCTTCAGAGAAGGAGTAGGTTCTCTTCTGACTCAGACAGTGAAGTCTCCCACAGATCATTATCACAAATGAATATCAAGTGAGGAGTGGACTCCTCCTTCTCTCTATTCCCCTTTCTGAGACCTCCTCCTCTCCAGAACTGCAAGGGCCACTGAAAGTGCTCTACAGACTGTATGAACCATGGCTGCTCAAGCTTGAACCACCTTCCAGGAGTGATGCCTTAGAAGTCAGCTGGATGCCCACTGCCAAAGAGAATGAAGGCTGGAGCAAGAGCTCAGCTGGAGTGACTTTGACAGCACCAACAATGATGAGCCCCACACTGAGTCCATCTACTCTAACACTGTCTTTTTATGACAAGCCACAGGAGCAGTACCAGTCACTCTGCCTTATCTCATCCATCAGCAAGCTATGGGACCAAGTACTCTCATCTGAGCCCTCACCATCAGCAGTGGCATAGACAAACATACCTGGAAAATTCATTGAGCTGAAGAGCTTAATCTCCAAGGCCACTACTAAGTGCAGGATGAGTACAACATACTATAAGCCCAACTTGAAGAGGAGGATCAACAAATTTGCAAAGCAATAGAGCAAGAAAGAAAAGAAGAAATGGCTAGAAGAAGAGTATCAGAAGGTCCAGGAATAGATGGCACACACTCTGCCTGCTGAGGCATTGTGGTGCATGATGGAATTGGAATGTCAGTAGGCTGAGTTGCCTTGGGTTGACAAGTGGAAGGACATTCTTTCATACAGCATTATGGCCATGGCCATTTTTAAATTCAATATGCAATATCCTGCTTATCCATATCAAACCTCTGTCTCTTACAAGTCAAGATAGAGCTCTGAACCCATGCTGGAAAGCCTCCTGCCCTGGACCAACATGCTAAACCCTTAGACATATAGACTCTGCCTATATACCAGCAAAGATGATGATTCAGCTGGACCAGCAGAATCCTTCAGCAAAGGCAAGAAACCAGAACAGCTGATCATGCTACCATCTTCTTCTCCACCACTGTCTCCACAAAGCTCAGCAAGCTTGGCACCAACATCTGCTGATAACTCCAGCCTGTGGTCACTGCCACAGCTGTCTCCAAAGTTCCAACCACTGGATCCTCCCTGACAGCCCACAGGCACTATGGGAGATGGAGCCCTCTGGCCAGTCTGCAAGCTCACTCTGGTCTGAGAACCAGAGATGTTTGAGGGCACTCATGAAGATCTTGACTGCTTCATCACAGCCTGTGAACTATGCTTTGAAGTATATAGCATGTATTTTGACTTGGACTTACATTGCATTGCATTCATGGCCTCCCACTTCATGGGAAAGGCAAGAGACTGGTGGGTGCTCCAACAGATGGAGTACTTCAGTAATAGCTGGAGATACCACTGATTTCTTGTTAGGTCCAAGTGTCACATGAGTGGTAGCATGTGATAAACAGATGTCCCTTTGCACTTCAAGGGATCACTTGAGTTCACTTGTTTGTGTACTTGCTCATTGTGTCACAAGATCAGATTATTGACTCAAGGTAGAATGGTGAATATAAACTTTAGCTCAAAGCTGGGGTTTCCAGTGAGAGCTGTCAGTCCTTAAATACCATACAGACTATGCTAATAATACTACTGCTAATTGTGTTGCTCTGTGTCCATAGTGCCTGTTGTCCTTGGGCATCATTACCATACATAAAAGGTTGATTGTGTGTTGTCAAGCATCGTCATGAGTGTATGAAGAATAGACTAGTTGTGATGACTAATCTCTTCCCATGATCCCAGTTTAGCATCCTGACTAAGCATAAATAGGGGTAAAAGTCAGTAAAAAGGGGAAAAATCATAACATTACCTCCTCCTTAAGATCATTGTCCTGATGACTTAATTTAGAGATAATTCATATTCATGTATGGCATTGTTGGCATTCATGTACTTTTCATTGATCCATTGGTTGGATTCTGGACTGTATCCCTTCCAACTGACCAGGTAGTCCACTGTTGTTGTAGTTCTGCCACCTTTCGCTTTAACCTTGCGGAGTTTATGATTTAGGACTTGATCAATTTTGTAGTGTTCTTCATCATCAATTAGGTCAGGGAGGGGAGGCAAAGGTCATTTCTGGTTAGGGAATACAGATGCAATGTAAGGGGAAAGCAATGTTTCATTGAATACATCGTGGATTTTCCAGGTCGCAGGTAATTTCAGTTTGTATGCAGCTGACCC